TAGTAGTAGTAATTATCAAAGTCATGTTGATATTGATGAATCGAATTATGGTCATCAGCCTAATCAGTATCAATATGACCAAAGTGTAGATCATGATAGGATGCACGAAATGGTGACTGATGCATTTCATGAAACGCATACGGGTAATGCTGTTGAGGAACCTAATGTAGATGCCAAACGATTTTATGATTTGTTAGACAATGCTAATCAGCCAATCTACGAAGGATGTAGAGAAGGCTTGTCTAAATTGTCGTTGGCAGCTAGGATGATGTCAATTAAAACAGATCATAACCTGGCTGAGGTTTGCATGGATGATTGGGCTGATCTTCTGAAGGAGTATCTACCGAAGGATAACTTGGCAGCGGGAACATACTATGAAATTCAGAAGTTGATTTTTAGTCTTGGTCTACCTTCTGAGATGATAGATGTATGTGTTGACAATTGTATGATTTTTTGGAAAGATGATGATCAGCTGGAGGAATGTCGATTTTGCCAAAAACCAAGATACAGGCCGCAAACTGGTGGGCGTAAAAGGATATCGTACCAACGTATGTGGTATCTCCCTATAACTGATAGGTTAAAACGGCTTTATCAATCTGAAAGGACAGCTGCATCAATGAGATGGCATGCGGAACATACACAAGTAGATGGAGAAGTTGTTCATCCATCAGATGCAAAGGCATGGAAACACTTCAATATGGTATACCCAGATTTTGCTAAGTTCAAACGGAATGTCTATCTTGGTCTGTGCACTGATGGTTTTAGTCCATTTGGTATGTCTGGTAGACAATATTCATTATGGCCAGTAATCCTAACTCTTTATAACCTTCCTCCAGATTTGTGCATGCAAAAGGAATTTCTTTTCCTAAGTATTTTGGTTCCAGGTCCAAATCATCCGAAGCGAGCTCTCGATGTATTTCTTCAGCCACTCATACATGAGTTGAATCAGTTATGATATACTGGCGTTCGTACATATGACTGTTCTACGAGGAAAAATTTTACTATGCGGGCTGTGCTAATGTGGACAATAAGCGATTTCCCCGCTTATGGTATGCTATCAGGATGGACTACACATGGGAGGCTATCTTGTCCTTATTGTCTTCATCGAACTGATGTGTTTCAGCTAAAACATGGTAGAAAAACTTGTTGGTTTGATTGTCACCAGAGGTTTTTACCGAATAACCATCCATATCGGAGGAACAAAATGTTATTTATGAAGAACAAAAGTGTACATGTCCCTCCACCCGTTAATTTAACAGGAGCTGATATACAGGCGCAAATCGATCATTGGAGGGCAGAAGAAACAGTAACTCGTGGGGGAAACTGGCACACTCTTGCAAATATGCCTGAAGGTTATGGAGTTCATCATAATTGGCACAAGAAAAAGTATCTTTTGGCAACTACCTTATTGGAAAGATCATCTGCTCAGACACAATCTTGATGTCATTCACATTGAAAAAAACTTTTTTGATAACATCATGCATACAGTTATGAACGTAGCGGGAAGAACAAAAGACAATGGTAAGTCAAGATTGGACTTGCCTGATTTATGCAACAGAAGTGAGTTGCATCTACTGAGAAACGGGAAAGCACCAGTTCCTGTATTTCGGTTGAGTACAGATCAAAAGTCAGCATTGTTCAGATGGGTTTCTTCTGACGTTAAATTTCTTGATGGGTATGTCTCTAATCTTTCCAAATCTGTTGAGAAGGGGGTATTTGCTGGGATGAAAAGCCATGACTGCCATGTGTTTATGCAACGATTATTTCCATTTGCATTTGCTGAACTCTTGCCCAAAAACGTCCATGAAGCTATTGGAGGCATTGGTGTTTTTTGGTAAATTTAAATAAATATTTGAATAATTAGTAACTAATTTTTTAAAATTTTGTAGGTTCTGTCCATATGGCTTCTCGGGCTAAGAGATTTCACTACCAACAGCTCGTCGATTCTGACGGTACGACCCCGTCTACCTCGGCGACCGGATCAGCCATCCCGGAGTCCTCGGGAACACAACGGACGGTTTCCCAACCGGTCATTGTTCCGCAGCCGGCACCGCCTCCACCACCACCAGCCGAACCAGCGGCTCCCGCACAGGCCGATCCTGAGGCTGATCTGATCTCGCCTGTACCGTATGCCCAGTTTACAGTACAGGATCTTCTGGCGCAAGCCGGTCGTGAGACCATGAACAAACTCGACCCGGATCGAGCCCCGGGTACCTTTTGGTACGTAATTTTTTTCCTACAATATTTTTAAATTAATTAATATTTATTCTTATATATTTGATATTAATTTACTTTTTCTCTTTCCATTTGACTAGGTTTACGACCAACAATGCAGTCGGTCGTAACGTTGCGGATATCATCAAGGGGTTTTTCGTACAACCCCATACCAGCTGGAAGAAGCTGAATCAGGCCACACTTGACACTTGGTTCAAGTGTTTTGCGGTAAGTAATTTACCATTTCGTTTAATTGTAATTTTAAATTTTAACTTTTTACAATAATTACTAACTTCTTTTTTTTTCCTAGCAAAACTGGCATTGGGAAACATCCGCACACGGACGTGTGGAGACGGTCTTCAAGGAGAAGGTCAAATTCCGCCTCAACAACACTGTTTCCGACTGGAAACGGAAGTGGGAGGTTGACGGCGACAAGGCCAAACCGGCGCCTATGGCCAATACCATCTGGCGGGGCCTTGTCCAGTACTGGTTGGATCCGCACAACCAGACTACGGCCGCCAAGTGTTCCGGATCTAGGTAAGTAGTTAAATTCAATAATATTAACATTATTTTTTTCTTATAATAGATTCTAATGAAAATATTTTTCAGGAACGCTACTGACGATGCGGGAAATCGGAAGAACGTCCCACACACTTCCGGCCAGATTCCTTTTGCCGGAAGACGGCTTATGATGGTAAGTAAATTTAAATTACTAATTTTTTTGTTTTCAAATAATTAACTCTTATTTCTCGATACTAATTAATTTTTTCATCTTGATTTTGTAGGTCGAAGATAACGGAGAACTTCCTCCGATGACGAAGGTTTTCGCCGAGACGCATAAGAAGCGTAACGGCGAATTCACGGATCCTCGGGCGGAGGAGATCTACAACGCCGCCTGTGCGGCGATCGAGGAGCGACAGACGCAGTTGACTCAGCAGGCGCGTCAAACGTCTCCCGGAGGTAGCTCGGTCCAATCGACCCCGGCGCTGACGGTGGCGGAGATGGACCAGATCTTCGAAGAGGTAAATTTAATTACTATATTTAATTAATGTAACTTTAGTTTTAAATTAAATTTCTAACCATAATGTTTTTAAAATATTTGTAGGTTGCCCCAAAGAAAAAGGGGCGGGTATTAGGGATGGGGTCCATCCGTGATACCCCGAGAGCTACGGCGACTGGTCACGTCCGGTTCCTGGATCCGGTTATCCGCCAGGAGATCAACCAGATGCGGACCCGGTACGAGACGAGGATCGACCAGCTCTACGGTCTCTTCGAGATCATGGGAGCCGACAACCCGGTACTCATGGCGCAGTTGGAGAAGCTGCGGGCTGATGGGGTTGTCGGATCGTCTGCCGCCGGGTCATCCACTAGGACGCAACCGCCGGTGCAGACGGACGAGGAGATGTTCCGATCTCTCGGGGTTGAGCCTCCTAGAGCCGGAGATCAGGCGCCGGCGGAAGCATCAAACCGAAGACCCGGCAAGGAACACGTCCAGGACGATGGGGAGGAGACCGGTGACGGGATCGACAGGATCGACGATTTAGATTTAGATTTAGATCTGTAGGGTTTTTATGTAAATTACAATTAATTTTAATTTCAAAAAATATTTTTTTTTTAATTTTCAATTATATTAAACGTCGTATAATCGTCGTAATAGTTTTATTAAAACCGTCGTACATTCGTCGTAAATATTATGACGAATTTACGACTAAAATGTACGACAACAAATACGACGATTATACGTCCGTGCTTTACGACGATTTTACGACGAAATGATTAAATACTTTACGATTGATTTACGACGATTTATGCGTCGTACATTTTACGACGATCTTACGTCGACCATTAACGACCACTTAACGACGGTGCAGGCGAAGACCAAGTCGACGCAATTCGATGTAAAATCGTCGTGAACTGTACGACGCATTTACGACGATTTTGTTTCCCTCGATGTTACGACGAATCGAAATCGTCGTATATTATACGACGATTTTACGACGATTTTGAAATCGTCGGTAGTCCGTCGTAATAGCCCTATTACGATGAAATAACGACCATTTCGGCCGTTGTAAAATGATGTTTTTCTTGTAGTGAAAATAATATTATATATATCTACTTTTAATATTATATTTTTATGTTATTAATACAGGAAAATATTTCCTACTGATCAAACTTGAAATTGTATCTAATTTTCTAAAAAAAATATTTATGTAAGATCAAACCTTGTGATTGAAAAATATGAAAGACCTAAATAAATTGCTGCTTTTTCATACATTCAAGTTTGGATAACATGATTTTATCAAATTCGTTCATCAAATTGATCAACCACATTTTAGTTAAAACCTTAATATTATTACCCGGCCGGTTGGCTGAATTTTGTGATCTAAGAAATATACAAAAGAGCAAAAATATGATATCACATGAGAGATGTAATGTGATACAACAGCGACTTGTGATGCTAAAAAAGGATAAATATATACATACACACAAAAAGAGAGGCTAGCTACATCGATGAGATGAGTATGAAAACGTCACATTACACGTTCACAAGTTGCACGTGTTTTATTAAATTTGCATAGTTGACGCAAAACGAACACGGCTTAGGACTACAAGGCTCACCAGTCATTTATTCACAAAGCCAACACAAGTTTCAGTATTTTTTGGCCAAGTGTAAATATTCTTCTAATTAGCATCGGATACTGCAGTATACTTTGTAAATGAGAGGAGAAGTAAATTTTCTCTTACACATGTGTTTAATGTTTGCATCTCTCTTATGGAGGACTTGGAGATAAAAACAAAATGATATTGAAGGTTCTTACAAAAAAAATGATATATCACAAATACCAAACCAAATAACATTAATCGTTCTATACAACCCCACCCCTCAACAGAACAAAATATCAACTTCATTTGTGTGATTCCCTTTACTCCCATTGAAACCCACCACCAAACTTTAACCAATTTGACTTAAAACAACAACAACAAAAATACGCAAAAAGACAAACAAATATGCAACAAAACTGCACCAACACAAAATTCACAAAATGTACCCAACCAAAAAAGAAAAATAATCTCCCGACAGCTTCTTGATTGACCAAATACCAAAACCTAAGAACCACATATATGTTGTGTGCATCGATGTGATGTGGGAATTGGGAAAGAAAAGCAAGCGTACCATACTGAATCCCAAAATGGGGCACGGGGTCTTAGACTCGCTGCGACACTCTTTGGCCACGACCCATAGCAGTCTTAGACAAAACCTCTTCAAGATATTCACAACGACCTCTATGGTGATCGATCCATACACATAATTGCCTTATTGCTTCTCTTTTCTCTTCTCCAAGTCCTATCAAAGACTCCTTCATTGTCTCCTTGTCCTTTTCATTTTCTCTTACTTTATCTCCAAGCTTCTTTATTTCTTCCTCTTTCTTCTCCATCTCTTTCTTCATCTTCTCCTTCTCGTGATTCCTCTCTATAATCCAATTCGTCGCAGTCCACAATATTTTCGAGGCCTCCATCACCGTTTTCTCATACTTCCCCTGTTTCTCCGTGAGTCTTCCCGACACTGATTCAAACCCATCTAGTGTTCTGTTCACTTTCTCTGCTATCTCTTTTATCATTCCTCGGTAAGTCTCGTGCGTCACTGTGAGACTTTTCTCAAGCAATGCTTGCTCCTCTAAGTGCTTAGCTTCTTCTCTCCTGAAAGCTTCTTCTTTCTCCGTTAGTACCTGTTCGGTTACCCTCAGTTTCTGGTTCGATAAACGTAGCTTAACCTCGATGTTACTGATCTTCTCCATGAGAGTTTCTATTTCGTCTCCTTTCATTTCCAGCTCATTACGTAAACTCTCCATCGTCTCTTCATGACCTGCAATTGCAGAATCTCTGGATGTTACTTCGTTACCTGTCTCCTCCAACAATCTTTTGGCTTCTTTGTGATCCTCTGTTAGCTTTTCGAGTGTTTCCTCACGTTCTTTGAAAAGTTCGTTGATCTGTTTGTGTTCCTCTCCCAGAGTATTGTAAGCAGCTTCTTGCTCTACCAAAGCTCTTTTGACATCGATGATCTGATTCGACAATTCTGATTTCTCTTGCTTCTCTCTATCAAGCTCTGCTTCGTTTTCGCTCTTCTTCACCTGTAGAGAATCAAGTTCATGCTGCAGTTTGTCGATCTGTTCTGTTAAGGCCATTGTTTCAGCAGAGGTTTCGTTGATCTTATCGCGCATTTGAACGACCTCTTCTGCTTTAATTCTCAGCTCCTCTTCAACCTCACTTCTCTGTTTCTGAAGAGTCTCCAGCTCAACTTCAAGACCATTGAGCTTCTCAGATAAACCGTTTCTTTCTTCTAGAACATTCTCGTGATCTTTGGCCTTGTTTATGATCTCCTCTTTTAGATTTGCAATCTGACTCATATTTCCAGAGATCTCCTCGGACTTCATCTTAAGTTGGATCTCAAGTTCTGCTTTCTGGCTCTCAAGTGAGACCACTTGCTGGCCCAGACCAACGATCTCATCCGTCAAAGCCTTAATCTGCATTGAAGCTTCATCACCTTTGCTCACCATTAGTTTCTCCAACTCTTCCTTTTCAGCAGTCGCTGAATCTAGTCCTGCTCGTACGCCATCGATCTCAGCTGTCAAACTCTCAATTGTGGATGATGATTGCTTCTCGTTATCCTCCAGTTTTTGGGTTAAAGCAGAGAGCTCAGTTCCTCTCTCTTCCATTGTCTTCTCAAGTTCCGAGATTCTAGCAACCTTTTCTCTGATTTGCGCTTCCAGTTGCTCAACTTCAGTGGTCTTGCTTGCAATCTCTGTCTCAAGATCTGTTGTACGGGCACGAACTGACTGTAGCTCCAGCTCGAGGGTCGATACTGTTGCTTCTAGTTCTTTTATTTGCACCTGTGATTTGCTTTCCTTCTCTGTCAGAAGTAAAAGTTCACCTTCTTTCTCAGCGAGCTGCTCTTTCAGTTTGCTTGACTCAGCTGTGAGTTCCTGTAACATGATCTGTACCCTATCAAGCTCGCCTGAAGTATCTGATATTTTAGTGGACATGGTTTTGTTTTCTTCCTCTGCAATCTTCAGACTTCCGCTCAAATCCGAAACCCGCTGTTCAGATGATTTCAACTGCGTTTCTAAATCACTTAAATGGGTGGATGTTTCTCTCTGATGAGTCTCATGGATATCCCTCAAACTGAATATTTCCTTGTCTTTTTCACTGTGGCTCTCTTTTAACTGTCCAGACTCAGACATGAGTTCTTGTATGGTGTTCTCTGCCTGCTTGATCTCATTCGACATTTCTGATATTCGCTGAGATAACATTTTCTTCTCTTCCTCTGCACTGTTCAGGCTCTCGTTCAAATCTTTAACTCGTTGCTCAGCTGATTCCACCACGGCTTCTAGTTCTTTAACCTGACTCGATGAATCTCTCTTATGAGTCTCGTGTACCTCCACCAAACTAGAAAGCTCACTCTCTTTTCGTATGCGTATATCTTTCGACTCTGCCAATTCAGCCGTTAGCTCTTGTACCTTGTTCTGCGCTAGTTTGAGCTCGTCCGTAGTTTCCAAGATTTTGGAGGACATGGACTTGTTTTCTTCTTCTGCAGCCTTCAGACTCGCACTCAAATCTGAGACCCGCTGTTCAGATGATTCTAGTTGAGCTTTTAATTCACTCGCTCGGGTGGATGATTCTCTTTGATGAGTCTCGTGGATGTCCCTCAAACCAGAAAGCTCTCTCTCTTTCTCACCGTGGCTCTCTTTCAACTGCCCAGACTCAGACATGAGTTCTTGGATGGTGTTTTGTGCCTCTTGAATCTCAGTAGAGATCTCTGAAATTCTCTGAGAGAGCTGTTTTTTCTCCTCCTCTGCATTGTTCAAATTCTGTTTCATAGCTGCAACTTGTTGCTCTGCTGATTCCACTACTTCTACTAGTTCTTTCACTCGACTTGTTGAATCTCTCTGATGTGCCTCGTGTACCTCCACCAAATTAGAAAGCTCACTCTCTTTCTCTTTGTGTCGGTCTTTTAACTCTCCCAGTTCAGCCATGAGTTCCTGTATCGTGTTCTGCGCCTGTTCGAGCTTGTCTAGAGTTTCCACATTATTCGAGGAGATGGCTTTGTTTTCTTCCTCTGCAGCCTTCAGACTCAATGTCAATTCTGAGAACCGCTTTTCTGAGGATTCTAGTTGAGCTTCTAATTCACTCGTTCGGGTGGAAGATTCTCTGTGATGAGTCTCATGGATGTCCCTCAAACCGAAAAGTTCTCTCTCTTTCACACTGTGGCTCTCTTTCAACTGTCCACAATCAGACACAAGTTCTTGTATGGTGTTTTGCGCCTGTTGAATCTCGTTTGTAATTTCTGAGATTCTCTGCGAGAGCAGTTTTTTCTCTTCCTCTGCAGTGTTCAGGCTTTGGTTCAAATCTGCAACCAATTTCTCTGATGATTCCACTTGTGCTTCTAGTTCTTTCACATGACCCGATGATTCTTTCTCATGGGTCTCATGTAACTCCACCAAGCTAGAATGCTCACTCTCTTTTTCTTTGTATCTTTCTTTCATCTCTTCCAATTCGGAAATGAGTTCTTGTATGGTGTTCTGTGCCTGTTCGATCTCACCTGAAATCTCCGAAACTTTCAGGGATAGAGATTTATTCTCTTCCTCTGCACTTTTCATACCGCTCGTCAGATCCGAAACTCGCTGCTCTGATGCTTCTAGCTGCTGCTTGAAATTAGAAATTTCATATTTGAGCTGGTCACTCGTTGTTTTCCAATCTTCTGCAAGTTTTTCAGCTTCTTCCAATCTTTTGATACCATTGTCTCTCTCAGTTTGAAGTTGATCTCTCTCTTTTATCATATCTTCTAACTTCTGGTTCAGATCAGTTTCTGTTTTGCCAGCAACTTCCAGTTTCTGATGTAGTTCTCTGCTATCACTCAGCGCTGTTGTCTTTTCGCCCTCTAACTTCTCAGTTTCAAGTTTCAAATTATTGATGATATCTTCTGATTCTTTTAACTTCATCAAAGCTACTTCAAGCTCAGAATTAACTGCTTCTTTTTCTTCCACACTCGTCGTCAACTTCCTTTTCAGATCAGCAATTTCAAGATTCCCAGCTTCGATTTGTTGCTTCAAGCCAGCTGTTATCGACTCAACATCTTTCTCTACTTTTCCATTTCTCTTGGTCTTCCTCTTCGAAGAACGGTCAGAGTCGGAGTCTGAGCTCGATGAAGAGCTTTCTCCTTTTCCGTCAACCTTTTTCTTGATCTCACCAGTTAGATCATCGTACTGGCGATAGAGAGACTGGTACTCGCTGTAGAATTCATTCACTAACTCTGAAACCACTTTTCTTTTAGATTGATCTTCGTCAATGTCTCCACTCTCTACCATTCCCAAGATTTTCTTCACCTTTTCATCCATTTCTGCATCAGATGATGATGGTAATTTTCATGTACAGCAGTTATTAGGAGTTCATTGGACATGTGAAACGAAACTGAGTAGTTTAGGAAAATTACCAGTTTTTGTTCCTTTAAGCATTTCACCTTTCTCATGGTCAAAATGAGGCTCAAAGAAAGACTTCAAGGTTTCTCTAAACCGATGCTTTTTCATATCTTTTTTCTTGAGTTTCTCCGATTACTTGTTCAACCAAATATCATCTATCAAGGCAACTTAACAATAAGAGCTTTCCGGAACCCAATATTCACCTGTGAACCTCCACCAAACACGATCTCTGTCTTTGCAAAATACACAGAGAAAGATATCAGAAGAAATGTTATGACTAGCAAAACCTAGTTAAAATATGTAATATAGTAGACTAAGAACAATCTGGCTGGGATAGAATCCAGATCATAGGTAAGCATCTTTGTTTTCATCAGACAGAGAATATAATAATAGAAGTAGATCATCCTGCAATTGAAACTCTGACAAGGTATACAGACAATAATAGAATTTGTGGACCCCGCAAAGAACATAGATAGATCAAAGATCCAAAACCTTGCATCATTGAATTACTGCTGGTAAGAAATAAGTAGTCAAATTTATTTAATTGTACAGAAGTTACAAAAATAAATAGATAGAATTTAATAAGTATTTTAAGCAATTTGGATTAACGCAAATTCCTTTTAGTGGCGGGGTCTAATTTGGGAATCGAAATGGTATTGGCTAGACAAGAAATCTCATGTGGAGCCACCTCAGCAAAATTTGGAAACGCACCAGAAAGCACATACCTCTAGAGAACAAGAACGATAAAAAGACAGCTATCATATTCATACCTCAAAAATTGTGAGTTGTTACTTTTTGTTCTTATGTTACCTTCAACAAAACTATAAATAATAATAATACAGTTTCACGTATAACAATCTAGATCCGATCATGATTCCCATATACTTAGATTATCATTTTTTAATATGAAAGGAATTTACTACTAGTAAAACGGTAAAACACAGGGAGGAGTTTCTGGTTTCTCTTACTCTTTTTTCTCTCAAACTTGCTTTGAGCTCCACGGAAGATCCAGAATCGATTCAATGGGTTTTTGCCTGTATAGATAAGAGAAACAGATTCAACCGAGAAATTCTTATTCATCTATGGAACCGAAGCTCCAAGACATGAAAAGAAAAAAAAAACTGAAGCTCCAAGACGAACAAACAAGCTCCTTGATTATAAAACCCAATCACTAGTTTATTGGAAAAAAATGGAACCAAATCAACGATAATCGAATTGTAAATGATCCAAACAAAACAATTTGAACAAGAAAGTATCAAGTGAAGTAGATGAATAAGAGAACCAGAAACCTGTAACTGTCTTTAGGGTTTAGAGAAAGCATCTAATCATCCGACGTTCTGTTCATGAATCATGATCCATTGATCTGAAGCTAACAGTCTAACACTATGCAACCAAGGCGTAAACTATAACCGATCGAGGAATCAAGCGACCTAAATACTTCTTAAATCAATAATCTAAACCATTCGGAGAAATCGAAGCCATACAAATCATTTCTATTCCGAGAAATTTTACCTGAATACCGAAGCTCCGGAGATATGAAAACGACGAAACTTATAGAGAAAAATAAAAATAAAAGCTATAAAAAGAAACTCTCTCTCTCTCGGGGTCTCGATCACTATCTCTGTGATTTCAAAGATGATAAGGATTACGAAATTGAAATCGAAGGGAGGGAGAGAGAGAGAGATTTGAAGAAGAAGAAGAAGAAAAAAAGTGATTTGGTTTGGACTTATGGGAGAGAAGACAACAGTTATGAGCAGAACTTTTGTTTTTTCAATTTTCTGGAGTCAGACGAATGAGAGAGAATCTTTTGGAAAATCGTCTTCCACAAACGCTCCTCTCTTTATGAGATTATTACGCTTATGCCACTAGACGCTGTTTCTTTGCTCTTCAAATTCTCGTCAAGCGGTCAAAATATCTCTATTTAACAGATGATTACGCTTTTGCCACTGATGTGTTGTTTTTCTTTTTTCGTCCTTTATAATATTAGCTGATTTTTTTTTTGTGCGTGTGTGGCATGTCTCGTGCCGTAATGAATTGGCGGGGTTCCCGCCTTTTTTTTGGTTCGTTTGGGAAAAAAACTACGCCTTTTTTTCAAATAATAATTAGAAAAACAATTAAGAATACTGATTTAGTTACGTAATCCTAATTTAGGCAGCATGTTTCCATGGATTTTATTAATTTTTTAATTTCCGATGTTCACAAACTTTATTGTGTTTAGAGAGATTTACTGATATGTAGGTAGTTTTCAAAGTTTAATTAATTGTAGTTTGAAAGTGTAATTAGAAGAATGGTACGTACTTTTGGTTTTATTTTAGATTTGATGTGATAACTATACCTTTAGTGAAAGTTATATGATCGATTGGTGGATGGTGGATCATGTATGGTGGATGGTGTTTTGATGGTGTATGGTTAATCGTATATGGTATATGGTTAATAACGATATGAATGGTGTATGGTCCATGATGTATGTATATATCTGTGACCCAGACTAATTAATTTAAATGCTCTAATCTAAAATTTAAAGTATGTTTTTAAAAATTTTATTTTAAAATAAAAATAATACAAAAATTAAAAATTAAAATTAAAATTTCATAAAATATTTCAACTCCATAAACAGTTTAAAAAAATACAAAAAACACAATAAAACTATTTTTTTTTTGTTGAAATATGGTCTTCCTTGCATTTTTTCCTGCAAAATCATTCATTAAACTTTCATAATCAAGTTTTTCAACCATAGTTGTTTCAATAGATAACAAAGGTAGCTCATTTAATCGCTCTTGTGACATGGTAGATTGCAAATAATTCTTTGCCAGTTTCAACTTTAAAAAACTTCTTTCAGCAGTGGCAACCGATATTGGATCAACAATATGTGATAAGCAACTTCTGTATTTTGATAACGGTCCTCTATTTGTTTCAAAAAATCAATCACTTCCAAACTTTATTTGGTATTGATTCTCGGAGAATTTTTAATTCCATAAACAGATCATCACCAAATATGTCTAAATGCACATCATTCGTTAAAGAAGCCTTCAAATTTACACATGATCTCTTCAAATAATTTTTGCTTAAATGCATATCATTCGTTAAAGAAACCTTCAAATTCGCATAAGATCTCTTCAAATAATTTTCGCTTACTGATGTCAGAGGATTTCTGGCTTTGATACCATAAAATAATATGAAATATAAGAAAGATTTCATAAAAATCTGAGTATATTTATTCACAAAAAAATTAATCAAAATATGCCCTCATAAAGTGGATGCTCTAATTTATCGCTTACCTCGCCTATGTTCTGGGTCGGCCCTGTGTATATCTAAAACTTATAACAAGGTAATATAGACATTAATGATTAAACATTCTAAAGTATCTATTGCAGAATTTTCTTTTTTAGAAAAAAAACTACATATTTTTCAAAATAATGTTTGTAAAAGTACCCATGACCAATTTTCCTCTAAAAAAAGCATCTGTTTTTACACCAATGTAACTGATAATAATAAAAGAAAAATCAATAAAGCCTAAAAAGAAATAGAGATGTTAGAAGCTATGTCCATTTTCTCCTTTTGTTTAGTTTGGAATTTTTTAGAGAGAACTATGCCTTGCTTTTCATAGTATTATTAGGATGAAGGCCAAAAGTAACAAAGTAATGGAAATGGAAACTTGCAGGATGTTCACTATTAAAAATAGCTTAAAAGGAATGCAACTAAGGCTTGCTACACAAGCAAGTCCATGCGAAGAAGATCTAAGAAAAGGATGCATCTCTCTGTTTCATTTTCTGCTATTTTGTTTCTTTGAAATTTTATCATAATAATAGCTAGCATCATTTGATGTAGAACTGTTTATTTTTTTTTTTGGTTTGAATAAATTTAACATTCATAAAAAAATGTAGGTTAAAAGAAAAAATAAATATGTTATTTACAAAAACAGATGCATTTACATCAATAGAAAATACTCAAACCTTGCAGCATAATATTTACAATTTTGCAGCAACAAGAAAGTTAAACAAAAAGACCAAATTAGAAGAAGGAGAAGGAGAAGAAGAAGAAGAAGAAGAAGAAGAAGAAGAAGAAGAAGAAGAAGAAGAAGAAGAAGAAGAAGAAGAAGAAGAAGAAGAAGAAGAAGAAGAAGAAGAAGAAGAAGAAGAAGAAGAAGAAGAAGAAGAAGGAGAAGAAGAAGAAGAAGAAGAAGAAGAAGGAGAAGAAAAAAAAGGAGAAGAAGTGAAGTTTAAGCTTGAAGAGCAACCTTAAAAATGGAAGCTTTGAGATCATCATATCGACAACGTTGATAATCCACCAAAACACAGAGTTGTCTTATGGCTTCTCTCTTCTCTTCCCCTAAGCTCAACAACTCGAAATCTCTCTCCTTGACATTAATCTCAAGATTTTTGATTCTTCTCATAGCCTTTGCTAGACTCAGCTTCCCTGTTCCTTCCTCTGCTAGCTTCGCTTCTAGTTTTGATAGCTTCTCCTTAAGCAGAGTCTCTTGTGCTTCTCTGCATTCAAGCTTCGCTTCCAGAGTTTCCACCTCATGCTTCATATTGCTCTTCTTCTCCTGCACCCACTTTCTCGCTGAATCGATCTCTTTAGCTAATCTGGTGACTCGGGTCGTTAGTTCCTCGCCTTGTTCCAGCTTCTTAATTGCCATCTCCGGTCCAGCAAGACCTTGTTCCACCATTTCTTTGATTTTCTTGAATTGGGTTTCAGAGACAGTGAGATCTCCCCTGTTTCCTCTGCTTTGTGTATTGATATAGTTGTTCTTGCTCTCTATGTGTATTTGTTCGGCTACATGGATCCTCCTGTACAGTATCCGGAGATGATCTTCCATTTTCATCCGAAAATCTTCAGCTAACTCTTCCATTTTCTTCCCGAGAAGATTGGTATTCAACTTGGAACCGAATGACCAACGTTTCATTAGCTTCTGTTCCTCTGAGAACTTGTCCATGGAGTCTCTCTGTTCCTTAAGAAGTTTCTGATGATCCTTGATCTCCACTGATAACCTGCAGATGATACTTCATTTTACTCAAACAACTTCAATTGGTAAGCTCATACAACTTCATTTTACTCAAAACAACTTCATTTGGTAAGCTTTTACAGAATCTTGTTCTTTTCTTACCGGTGAATGATACCTTCTTGTTCCTTGATTAGCTTCTGCTGATCATAAACTTTGTTCCTCAAAGCTTCATTTTCCTCAGCAATCTTCATCTCGGCCTTAGCCCGTTCCTCAGTTTCACTCTCCACACGCTTCAGTCGCATCCGCGTCTCCGAAACTTCATTGGTTTTCTTCTCCAGCTGAGATTCTAACTCCTTTTTCTGGTCACGCAACAATGCAGCTTCACCTTTTGTGATCATCATGCCCTTGAAATGTTCCCTGTCCTCGTTTCTCTTGCCTCGGATATCTCCAGCCAACTCCATGTTCTGGTCGCGTAAGAACTCAGTTTCCTGTTTGAGATTGCTGACCTGCCTCTTCAAATATCCGTGTGTTAACTCTGCCTCATGTAGCTTTGTAAGCAAGTAAACCGAGCTGCTCAATGTTTCACCACCGGCACTACTGATCTCTACCTCCTCTGAAGAATAGTAATCCAAATCCGAACTAGACCTCGATGAAGAAGCAGTAACCGGTTTTCCTTTTCTTCCACCAGAAGCAGCCCCTAAATCATTAAACGCAGGGTAAAGCAAGTGACAATGCTCGTGAAGATCGTTCACCATCCCAACAAGCTCCTTCTTTGTATCCTTTGAAATCTTGTTTTTGTTTTGGATATATTTTACAAGTGTAGAAACCTTCTTCTCCATCTCTGCAGCAGATGTAAAACAACATACGTAAAGGAATTCCTCATTTCCTCACAAAACTTAAACTTAAAATAGTTGTAAGTACCTGCTTTCGTCTCCTCCGATTGCAACATTTTTGGTAATTTAGGTTAAAAAATTTGCAGGAGATTTAATCACAGAAATTAAGAGAAGCAGCGAAAGCTAAAAGGAAGCTCTGGAAAAAAAAAAACACAAAGAAACAAAACCAATTCAGTTTGCATACAAAAAAAAATAAAGTAGAGAAATCTTTCACTTCACATGAATCAATGCATTGAGAAAGAAAATGGGAAATTAGCAGTCTTCATCAGTTCCTTTTACCACAAGAAAACCATTAGGGGTTAGAGTGGGCGAATTTGTAAAAGACACGGAAATTAGCAACTTCCTTGTGCATCACGAATCATTAGGGTTCCAAAGAAAATAGATACATTATTTAAAAACGCAGACCTAAATATCATAAACTAGAGAACTATATAGTAGAAAAATAGAGTTAAATGTAACGGAATTTTTGTTTCCTTTATTTTAGTTTTTAAGAGGTTGGAAATTAAGCGAATGTCATAGTCAATCAAAATTAAGAGAGACCCTACATCGAAGATGAGGATTAATGTATATATCGATTTCGTTCCGAAAGATGAAAAACAACAAACTGGGTTCCACATTCCACCAAGCCTCATTGAATTCATTTTCTTACACACTTCCCATAATTTTTCCTGCATTTTCTCGGCAGATTAATTTTTTAAAAATCAAACCAATGCAAATTAGAAGATTCTTACCAGAAAAAACCGGATCGAGAAAATTTATTTCTCCGTCCGGCGGCTGAAGAAGCTAGAAACAAAAAGAAAAAAGAAAAAAATAAATTGTTTTGTTTTTCAAATTTTCCCAAAATTAAAATAAAAAGTTGATAGAGAAGAGTTGAGAGCGAAATGGGATCGGAGTCAGATAAAACGAGAGGTTGTGCGATAAATCTACCTTTTTCATTTTTAAATAATTCGAATTTAAAAGGTTGCTTTTTGGCTTACGAGAGGGAATTCAAAATTTGGCACTACTTGTTATCTAAATGCCCTTCAAGTTTGGTCATTATTACGGAAATAACCAAGCCATGCATGAAGAGTCGCCAATTTCTCGTCCTCGTCGATATTTTGCCGTAAGACGTTGTTGTGATTGGTTCAATATCCACTCATCCAGCTGAAGCTGCAATCATGCCACGTGGGTAATATCATCTATGGCTTGAGCTCCAAGTTGCCAAAGCTACCTCTTTTTCTTCAAAAATTTATTAATTAGGTCGACTTAAGTGAAAAGAAAAGTAAAAACAAAAACAAAAAAATTAGATCGACTTTTCTTACTAAGGCTCTGATTGGTAAGGAGTAATCTTGAGAATTAACAAAAAAATTAATCAGTGGATTGGATAACGAAAAACCAAAAAACTTAATCTGTTGCTCCTGATTAGGTCCTAAACCGTAAAATTCGAACCAGAGCAAAAAAAAAAAAAGAGTTTCCTTGTTCCTTGGATAACTAAAATTACTGCTAAATCAAAACAGATGAGTGACGATGATGTACAGAAGAGATAAACTTAAAAGTAAGAATACAAAACAACAAACTCACAGTTTTGATCTAACTCAAAAAGAACACTTTATTCGTAATCCTCCTCAGGAGAAGCAGCAATTTTCTGCTTCTTCCATTTAAAAGCAGCTTCAAGAATCTTGAGATTCGTTGTCTGCGATTCTTCTGGATATAGATAGTCAATGTATTCTTCATACCTGCCAAGATCCAAACCAATATTTTCACAGTAAGCTTTAGCAATCGAAAAATAAACCAAAAATATCGATAAATATATGTATGCAAAAGCGTACTCTGTAGAGCCATCTTCTCTAGTGATCGGCTTCCTCTTCTTGAGCTTCTTCGGGAGCTTCGATTGAACGATACTAACATCCCCGAGCTTACCAAAGCTTGTCTCCATGTTAAGCCAATCCTCCAAGAGCGTAGCTCGCTCTTCTTTCAGCTCCGGTGTGGAGTCTTTGTAGTATGCATTGGCTCTATCGAAGATCTCTGCGTCGAAGAAAGAAAAAAAAGAAAGAACAGTTAAAAAACATGTCACAAGGAATCTATCAATCATAACTCATATAACATCTAGTTTTGATAAAGTTACCTCTGGCACGTCTGATGCAGTCTTTTTTGAGTTCAATAACATCTTCTTCTTGGTCTTCATCTTCCTCGTCTTCTTCTTGTTCCGCAGCAGAAGCTTCAAACTTTGCAAAACTGACCCACACCTTGTAATGCTTTGTACGGTCCAAGAGTCGCTCATATAAAGCTCGTGTCCTCTCTAATTCCCCTTCTGATATCTCAAAATCAATGTACGCCTGCCACACAAAAACAATATAGAGTTTCAATGATCCAATCGATTCAAAAGGTCTGAGGAAGCTCGCCTTCTTTTAATGTATTAAGACTGAAAAAAGTACCTTCCATAGCAGCTCGGGCATATCAAGAGCAGGCTGAGATATTGCAAGCTCAAAAATAGCTCTAGCTCGTTCGGTTTCAGCAAGAGACCTCTCCAGCTCAGCGAACTTGCTCCAAGCATAGCAATTCTCAGGAGACCACTCAAGGTACCGCTCATATAACTTTCTACACCTATCTATGTTTCCCAGCTGGAGTTCGATCTCAATATATTTCTTGAATATCTGTTTGCAGAGTAAAAAAAAAATCTCACCAAAGTAAGTAAACCGGTGAGCAATAAAAAAAAAAAAATTATTCAAACAAATTTCATGCTCACCTTATCTTTTGGAGCTTTTCCAATCGCATTTCCTAATATCTGCCGAGCACCCGCAAGATTCAATTGTCTGATCTCAAACTGTGCAGCGAGCAACCATATTTTGGCAAAAGAAAATTTGGCGTGGGGGATAAGTTTGAGGCATTCTCTGAAATGTTTGATAAGACAAATACAAAAGAGTCAGTCTAAACTGCCACGAGTGAAACGTAAACGAATGTAAAGTAAACTTCACAAGTTTCAGAATAGGCTTTAAACATACCTGTAAACATCTCGTGTACGCTCCACATCTTCAGCTTCAATCTCTTCATACAATGCATAGTTAATCCTACACCAATTAGCCACATCCGTGTCAGTGGTGAGAAAACAGCAGAACCATTATGCTAACAAAAGACTAAAACCTAACTTTCCAGGGAATGCTATGTTTCAATAGATTTACGATGTGCAAAAACGTAACAAATATCTGCCTAAGACAACCAAACACAAACAGCTCAAGTTACAGGTAACTAAAAACCTAACCTTCTTATGCAAACCATGATCAACATAAACATTATCACCAAAATCAGTATAGGATACGAAAAGAGAAAAAACTCACCAGAGATAGATATATCTTTGCCAGTATCGTTTCTCTTCGGCAGGTGGAACATTAGCAATGGCCCTCTCATAGATTTCTCTGATCCTATCTTTGTTCCCTACGGTCTCTTCTAGCCTAACGTAATCGAACCACGAATCATAGTTCAAAGGGTTCTTCCTCACTTCATCTTCATACTGAAACCTCCTCTTCCCAACAATGGCATCCTCAATCCCTTCCTTATCTCCGTACTGTTTCTCAAACGCCACAAACTTCCTGTACAAATCCTCGGCCCTTCCTTTAGGAATATGATCCAGAGCAAACTTGTAGATAAACCTAGCCCGTTCTACTTCCTTGCACCGTTCTTCGAATTCAGCAAACGCCACAAAGAGCGTCTCAGCTTCTTCGTCGTCTGCAAGCTTCTCCGTTGCTCGCTCGTACACACTCCTCGCACGAGCAACTTCGCCGCCTTTCATCTCGAACTTGGCGTATCGGATATAAGCAGAAACCTTTGGATGGCAAAGAACAAACCTCTCGTAGATGGATCTAGCGCGTTCGATTTCGTTATACCTAAGCTCGAATTTAATAAACGAGAGCCAACCTTGTTGATCCGGTGACCAATTCATCCACCGCTCGAATATCTGTCTAGCTCCGGCGATATTCCCAAGAATCTCCTCCATGTGAATGTACTTGTACCAGAGCTGGTCCACGCGAGGGAGAAGCGTGACGGCTCGATCCCAAACGTTCCTCGCGCTGTTTACAAACTTGTTCTTCATCTCGAACTCTGCGTACTTGAGCCATAGCGTATGGTTCCGGTAATCGCCTTCAATGGCTCGTTCCCACACGCTACGAGCACGAGCGTAATCCTTCTGGGACTCCTCCCACTGCGCGTACTTGACCCAAACTTGGATGTTCCATCTCGCGCGGCGGATCTGGTCCTCGAACTCCTTCCGGCGACGGAGTCTGTAGTCGGAAAGCTCAGTCGAGTCAGTGATTTTCTGCTTAGGTGGACGGATCTCAGCCTCCTGCCTCTCACGAGCTTCCCTGAGAATCTGCTCCGCCGTGATTTGAACCGGCGCCGGCGTCTTATTCTTCACACGTGTTGGCCGTGGAAGCTTTACTTCCGTATCCTTCCGGGTCATGTACCCTAAGGTACGGTCGGAATCTTTGCCGGAGGCCATGACCTCTCGCGATTTGGTTCCTTTGTTTTTTGCTGGGGTTTCTGGTTTTCGGGGAAAAGATGGAAGAAAAAGATTAAACGCAGGGTTACTTAGATAGATGCATAAGAATATATATTGGGCTGTTAATGAGCCTCAATAAGTTGGGCTCATATCTCAATTTGGGCCCAATGTAAATCCACCTATAATGCAATTCAGAGAAATCCTGAAGACCGAAATACCCGAAATACAATTGTCTTTACAGTAAAACATCTATAAATTAATATTTGATAAATTAATAATCACTATAAAATAATAAATTTTTCTGATCCCAAGTCAGACCAATGTAAAAATCCATTAAATTCGATAAAATAGTAAGATACTAATTTTTTTTAAAACCCTTATGTAAATATATGGTACCAACAAAAATATAAATTAATAATCATAAAAATAAGGCAAATATGTCTAAGGCAATCTACTAAAATATGACTCTATTATTGTTTGTCTTTTCTGAAAGTTGGAAACTCGTTGGAGTTCATCTCTAATTTTTCTGATTGCATCAACAACTCCTGGTATTGGCTTCTCAATCTGCATCCAAAAATTGTGAAGAGTTCTTGAAACCAGAATCGCTTCCTTACATGAAATTGTTTCAAAGGTTCTACAGCCTCGTCTTCAACTTCAACATTAAGGACAGTAAACACAATTTCTTCTAAACTCTGAATTTCTGAGCATGTATCATTTTCATCTGGGTAGTCGAGTATGCTGTTGACATCCATTCTATTACGATAACCGATATTATTGATCAAAATTTGAAGTTCATGAATGTCGTTTGATTCATCTTCTACATTCCCTGGTACAACATCTCCTGAACGAATTTTGCAGTGTCGAAAACAATTTGCTATTGTCCCTAGACGAACATTAATTGTCCAAGCCGAGACAGCAAGATTTATAGCATCCAAAACATTGATCTTATCTGGTTGTCCCAACTCATAGCCTTCTAAAATCTCACTGTAAAATCTCCTGCGATAATGCATCTTGAAAACTCTTAGTATTCCAACATCACAAGGTTGAATTTTTGATGTCATATTGGGTGGCAAGAAGAACAGCTCAACACTCTGTAATCCTTCAATATTTCGTGGATGTGCTGGACAATTATCAACCACAAACAAAATTTTTCTACCTTGCATTCTCTTATCAAACCATCGGATTTATTCTTCAAAAATCACACTAGTCATCCAAGCTCTTTTGGTGGCACGATAGTGACAATTCAAATTATCCATGTTGACATTCTTGAAACATCTTGGCTTTGCATATTTTCCAATAATCCATAAAGAAAATATTTCAGACCCATCTTCATTGCAATAAATAACAACGGTTAGTCTTTCTTTGTCTTGCTTTTTTCCTTCAAGTTGTTTTGTAGCAAGAGAATGATCAGCTTGTAATCTGTAAAACAAACCAGTCTCATCCATATTAAAAACATCTTTCATAGGAAACTGATCTATTTTTTCCCTTATAGCTTCCAATTTCTGTTCCATGTCTTGTACATCAACTGAACCACTCTTTCCAAAACGACAAAAAGACTTGATACCATGTCGTGATTTGAATTTTTCAAGCCAACCTTGAGAGAATTGGTGCTCAGAATCTTGTTGAGGGTATACAAGTTTCATTGTATCTTTTGCTTTCTCCAAAATTAGCTCTCCAGTCATGTTCACACGCTTTTGATATTGGAGAAACCACTCAAAAAGAACATTCTCCATCTCTGGGAATTTTGCTGGTTTGTGCCGCTTGATATCTTTTTCTGTTTCCAAGTTGCTCGAAAGATACTCAGCTAATCGTTTGAGTGTGTTTGAGATTATATTTTGACTAATTTTTAGATGATGATGTTTTTCAAGCCACAACTGCAATTCCTTTTGAATGCAAGCTGTATGATCTCTTTTGTACTCACATAATTCTTTGCGTATTTGATATGTCATTGTTGCTTTTGGAACGTCTTTAAGATGGGAAGCCATTGCTAAGTTTGGTGCAAAAGAAAAATATGATGGAATGTTCTAACAAAGACGAACCTAATACTTAATAAAAACCAACGATGAGTACATTAGGGCAATAGAAAAATTTCTAGTTTTTTACATACAAAAGAGGAATATTGTTTTAAGCAATTAAAGGAAAAATGGAATATTGACAATTTGACATGATATGGAATATATTTATATAAACATAAAGTATAATAAAAATTCATATAAAATAAATTTTATGAATAATTATGAAGTTCACAAATATTCATTTTATAAATTAATAATTAATAATTTATAAATAAATTAATATCACGATAAATTAATAAAACAATATTATTAATTTATAGAAAATTTACTGTATATATATTCCAAATTTCTTTTTCATCTATACTGTTAACAAAGTGTTAACTAAATAAACTAATCCTTATTCTGATGATAGGAAAAATCATAAACAAATCATTGAGAATGAGAGTTCAATATTATTATCTTTTATTTATGTGAATTGGAGTCCATTATCGTACATGTTGTTTGCAATCAGGAATTAATGCTATATGGATTCATGTTTCAGGAACGAACTATTAATCTTACTTCTTAAGCACACTTTAACACTTTTAAAGTCACGGAAAAAAACAATGAAAAATGAGCATTTTTACATGGAGCAATCATCTAGTAGTACTGTATAAAATTAAAATTTGAGACAAATTAAAATACTGTCATATATTAATTAAGATTATTAATGCCGTGCGAATGAGGTAACATAAATGTAGAGTAGAGAAAACACACGATCCATAAATATAATTTTTTTTTAATATAAAACATACATATACTAATATACAAGATAGAGAATATATATACATGCAAATATCTGTATTTTTCACTCTTTCACCACCTATATTTATTTATTTATTAAGTACGATGTAATAAGGTTAAGGTTACATGATATTACAACTAGTGCTCCTTCTCCGACGGCCAGAGAAAAGCTCCGATAGCAAACTTCCTCTTCTCGTAAGAATCTCCGATGATCGGCAAGCCATACTCCCTCAAAAGTTGATCCAATTGCCACTCTGGCATTTTCTCATAATCACTCTTTGTATATTTTGGATAATGAAGTGGAATCTTGAAGCAGCTTGATCCATTTTGGCTTGTGTTGTCACCGATCTTCGTTTTGTTCTTCTGATTCTCGCAATCTTGATGATGATTATTGTTGTCTCGGATGGCTGAATTGGAATGATCATGGCTGAATTGGATTCCCATTTTTATATAAATTAAAGGATTTAATTTCTTGACAAGAAAACTAGGGTTTTTTGAAGATTTCAATTAGGTTTTGATGTTTCTTATGTGAAAATGGGGGATGGGTTTATATAGGAGAAATTTGTGGATGGAGGTCAAGAACTTCGTGGGATCATGTAGAAGCACGCACGTACTAGATTTTGAAATTTTCTTTTGTTTTATTTTTCCATTATTTTGTTTGCTACTACTGTCTCTTTTTTTATATTTAGTTTTGTTTTTATGTGTTTTAATGTTTTTTTTCTTTGTTTGTTTGTTTGATTATCTCTATCGTCGAGACTAGACTACATGATTCGATAGAAATTTCAAACATCTTGCAAGAAACTGATTAGCAGTTGCTATTAATTTTATAATAGACAAATTTAATTATTATTTTTCTCGAATACTATAGAGGCATATACTTTTTCATTTTACATCCAAATGATGATAATGAGTAAACTATAGTGTCTCTTATATAGTTTTATCTAGTTTTTCAATTTAAATCTCCTAGAACGCAATATATATTTAATTTCTACTATACGATAATCTTATGGCGTGCCTAAAAATTTCAAAGATTTTAAATTAACAAAATGAGGTTTGTGTAACCTTACGGTGCCCCTTCGTCCATGTGTCGATACGTCTCTCGATCCACTATCTAACCGTGGGTTCACCTTCTGACAAAAGCTAGATGGTCATATATTTAAATTAGACTGTGTTTCCTTTAATCATGTTTTTACTCGCATGCACAATATTAAAAATAATGGAGGCTGCATAAAACAAGGAAAAAAAACGATAAGAGGCTGCTAAGTGCTAACAATATCACCACTTAATACATTAAATGCATCGAGATAACTCTTCACATATTAATTGGCTTTGTTGAATTTTTGCTTGTTTTCGTTTTCACATAACAGAAGCGAATTGAATGCTTTGTTAGTAACTGTGAGACTGCGATCGAATTTAGTGTTGAAGGCAACTTGGTGATGAAAAGACAAGAACAATTTTCTAAAATGAAATTTTATGCTTTAAAAATGGTTAATTCAAGATTTTTTTTCTTGTTTTAATAATATAAGTTTATATTACAAGTTAATTGCTACGCTTTGAATGGAAATAATCTCTTGTTCAAATAGATATATTGTCATATTGTCATATTTTACCTAAAAAACATATTGTCATATTGGCTAAAAAGCTCAGAATTACACAGTGACAATGAATTTCATTAAAATTTGATCAGTTTTGTTCTGGAATTATCGATGGGGACAAATGGGGTTGGAATGAGGAAGATGGACCCATTATTTGATTCTTTGGAACCATCGAAATCTTTCTAGTTGCATGCATGCGACGACTAATTATACCTTCTTTTTAATGTTTACAAGTGCCCTTCCCTTACGGATTTGCCTTTGCATTTCACTATCGTCAATGTGTGTGTAATCAATAAGAACCATTTGACTGACTCTTGACACTACTGTCACATGAAGAATTTAGAAGCAAAACTTTAAAAATGACACATAAGCCATTTGCTTAGCTTAACAGGAAAGGAAAGCCAGTAAATAGCCCAAACCAACTCTAAAATACACGACCAATCAAACCAGATGGTTTAAGAGAGAAACATTTATCTGGTATACTCTTACAAAGGCTTCATCAATCGGATTTTTACTACTTTGGGAACCTCAATGTACATTTACTACACACAAAAAAAGAAAAGAATAGAATCGGCACGTGAAAATTATAAGATGATTGTTTCAAAAGTACTCATAATCAAGTTTCTGATTCTTCTAAGGAAGGCCAAGCTAGAAGCAAATGCTTTTGTATATGGATGAGAGTTTTTTGTAGAAGTAAACTTTCCGTCCATTCGAATCAAGAATCGGTCTTTTCTTCAACGATGACTTGTTTTAATATCTTGGGATGTGCTTCATTTGTCACAGGCAAATCCACCAGCGTTTGTGGAGGAGCAAAGTACATATGGAGTGACATTATGCATATGATAATACCCAAGAAAAGCTGCATTGTTTGATTCAGACGACTGTGAGGCAAATACACGAGTATGAGAGCACAAGTTGGTAAATGTAAGAACAAATAAATTTATATCGAACCTGTACTGTCGGTTTGAAACTGAAGAGGTATATAGATGCAACCATAGTAAGCAGCATCGCCATTGATGTTGAATATACCTGTAGAAGAAAATGTTCATCTGAGTATTTTTTTTTTTTACTTTCTTATGTTTGATTACGAAGAAACACAGTCTGATCTTTTACCTTCACGATGTTGTCTGCATACTTCATTAACCACGAGACGAGTAAGCCCGTGGATCCTAGATTCAGAACTACCATCCAAGTAGTGATGCTATACCCATCAAAGATACGTTGCCACCAAGGACCTTTTTCAAACCCGAGTCTGAAATCATCTGCTAAAAGCCGAGCAACGTTGAAAAGTGATCCAAACCTGGTAAGTCAAGAAAAAAAAGAAGAAGAAAGAATATGATGATTGAACCGAAAACCATTGCCCAATGAAAGTAGTAGGACAATAATACTTAAATACGAGTCTTGGCATGAGAAAGTGTTGATGTGAAGAAGAGATACCTACGTATACAACTGCAAGTTTTGCCAGTATAAGCTGTCATTGTTTCTCTTCATCAAAAACTCTGTGTAGATTCCGGCTAGTGCGGACAAACCAGCTGAGAGGATGCCCAACAAATACCCTTGTATTGGTGCTGTGAATAGCGAATCACATGAAGCTTCTCCGCAACCCTTAACCTGAAGCGACAAGAACAAAAAAATGTATATTTGAAATCATTTTGAATTACCAACATAAAACCCAGATTTCTGCTTAACTGCTGAGATGAGCAATATTTTGAGATGCATAAGGTTATAAGCCTATACATAGAATATTTTCCAATAACAGTACTACGTTAAAGAGGAGAATATCAAACGCAATTCAATGAGTAAAAATCACCTGGCTAGTAGTTGTTCCAACAGCTAAAAGACCAATAGCCATCCACTGAAGGTTTGATAATTTCCTCTTCAAAAATAACCTACAACGACAATAAACTACAAATTTCTTACCCCACAGAAAGAAGAGAGAATCCATTGATAGTACAGAGAAAGAAAGCACATGAAGCAGATATACCTAAAGAGTATGCCAGTGGTCACAATCTTCAGATTACCCATTATCTGATAAGTGGATGTGTCCACATAAGTCAGTGTAGCAAACTGCACGTTGTTATGGATCAGATATATAAGAGAAGGAATAACAAATAAGCGAACGCTCTTCCAATCCGTAGTAATCCTTGCAGCTGCTGAGGAAGATGTCCGCATCTCTCTCCAGAGAAACAAACCAGAAATGATCAGCTGCAGAACAAGTTTACAAAAGTAGAAGAAAAAAAATTCTTAGCAGCTAGCTAAGACATTGAAAAACTCCAGTTTTTTATCACGTGAAACGAGCTGAGCATAATGAAAACAACAAAAATACCTTGAAAACTTCGGCAAGAAATGGAACAGTAGCATAATCGTACTTATAACCTCCATCACTTTGAGAAAGAGTTGTTAAAATTCCCTGAGGCAAAAGCTTACACAGTGAGAGATGGTAAAATATATCATCAACTTAGCTATCATAATAGAATTGAATCTCGAACATGAAGACTGATGATCATGACTTGTATAGAGTAATAACTCGAATTTTCTAATAGCTTATCGATGACAACAAATTCTTCACTGAACTTATTATATAGATCGAACAACCACACAACCTCCATTTCTCAACAAAATCACAAGCGTAGAGTGAAATGTTCACAGTATGAACTTAAATAACTCGAATTTTCTAATAGCTTATCGATGACAACAAATTGTTTACTGAACTTTAACATAGATCGAACAATCAAACAATCACACAACCTCCATTTCTCTACAAAATCACAAGCATAGAGTAAAATGTTCACAGTAAGAGCTTAAATAACTAGCCAGAGTAGAAAGAAACTGTGTCCTGAATCGACAGAGAAACAACCATGCACTCGAAATTCACACCAGAATCAACTGGAATATCGAATCTCACACCAGAATCATAACATTGCTCGAAACCCGTGGAAATAGCATAATCAAACTCTAGAACCGACATGGTTCAGATAGATTTGGCGACAACAATGCCAGCGATAGCTCAACTACAGATCCAAGAAGAAACGAATCGAAAACGAATCTCGAAAGCGGACGAAATCAACCAGATTCAATCACAATCAGCGACAGAAAGACGATGCAAAGAAGAAGGGGAAAAAAAAAAGAGGAAATGGAGATTTAGGGCTTGAATTGGAACCTGAGAGCTGGTAAGAACGGTGAGAAGTACAGCAACAAAGTACCACGGAGTAGCCATTCGTGTGTCTTCTTCGTCTTCACTTCATCACACGAGCTCTCTCCTCTGATTTCTCTTCTCTTCTAACTGTATCGTTCACCATCACCGCCGTGAAATTTGTTTTCTTGCCATTAAAAGAAAAAAAATTAAGTTTAGCTTAATACATTGAGATTTGGGCTTTTGGGCTTCAGTAGTTAAAGCCTTTTCATTTTTCTCTCTCGACTCGACGAAAATCCTTCTTCCTTCTTCTCCTCTTCTTCATCAATGGAAGCAGCTCGTAGCCGAATTGACCAGTTTGCGTCTGATTCCATCAATCGAATGCAATTCTCTGCAGAATCAAGCATCTGCAGAAAGCGCTAGTGACGTTGGATTTGCAGACTTAGGCTTTTGATTGTTACAGGTTAGACACACTTTAAACTTGTGTAGAATTAGCTTGAACGGTCAGGCTAAATGTGTGTCCCTTAGGCAGGCATATGCTTTAGCTGGAACTTATCACATTGATATGTTTTTGTGTTGAATCTTGTCTACAATCATATATCGAAAGACTATTAGAAATGTGGAATAGATTGTATCAAAAGCGGAACTTTGGAAATAAGAGTGGAGATTCGGTCTTCTTGTTCTTCTTCTTCTTCCCTAGACCAAGCTTCCTAAGGAGACCGCAACCATTTGTGTGTTTAGTGCTTTCCACATTCTCAGCTTCAGCTTTATTTGTTTGGTAGCTGATGTTGCCTACAGGTTCAGGTTCAGGTCTTCTGTGTGGTCGTTTGTTTTGTCTCCGGTTTTGAAACAGGGCCATTTCTGAACTTGCTCTTCCAAGATCCTTACGCCACACTCCATAATTTTGTGGTTATCTGAGCAGGTGAATTCAAACAGAAACTCGCTTGTATTCACATCCACTTCAGGGCTTCTGTTTTGTTGGTGTGACAAGTCACCACCAAGTATATAGAGATGCTGCGTTCTAGCTTGAGGAGACTGGCCCATATAGTTGAGTTGGTTAATGAGGACACCTTCTTTGCTTATTAGGTAACAAGTTACATGAACAAATGCGTTATCTTTGACTGGCGAAAGCAGGAAGCAAGCCTGAAATCTTGAGGAGCCACTGTAGAAATCCCCTGGAGAGATGGTTATGGAGTTTGCTGCAGCTTTGTGAGTGAACTCTGCAGGGACTTGTTTACCTGGTAAGCATACATATTCGGCAGACCTACAATTTATGATTACTCTTGTTGCTTCGTCATCCAGTTTCAAACAGTTATGAAACATGAGTTCCCTGATTAAATCTGAATCTTGTAAGAGCGTTGAGAACTCGACATTCTCAAGTGAAACACAGTTGTTTGCATGTAGGGACTTGAGGGAACTGGGGAGATGCTCCACTGAAATTAGTTTTCTACAGTTTTCGATGATAAGAGTTCGTAACCGATGGAGACCACTGACGTAATCTGGAATCCTCTCTATACCACTCCCGCTTAGGTCTAGCTTCCTTACAGTTTCCGGAACATGTGTTAATCTCTTAACTTCCCTGCCAACTACATCAAACCTATCAAGCCATTGGGGATGAGTACTTTGTGGCATGCCGTAATCTGGAATCCACTCCATAGCATTACTGTTTAGGTCTAGCTTCCTAACACTTTCTGGATAATAAGGTATACAATTAAGACTACTTTGAAGAAACAGACGATCACCAAATGTTGGACCCCCGACCCAGAGGTTTTGAATGTTCCTAGTAATATCTGGAAAATTTCTCAGATTTGAGGAATATCTCTCCCGAGATGCTGAGTTGGTCTTGGTTGGAACAACTTGTAGCTTATTGCAACCCCACATCCTTACCGTTTTTAGTTTGTATAGATTCGAAATAGAGGAAGGAAACTTCACCAAACTCGTGCATTGGATAAATGTCAGTGTCTTGAGATTAGTTGCTCTGGAAAGATCTGGGATCTCTTTCAAGTTGAAAGAAAAGTTCAGATTTACCTTCTTCAGATTCACAAGGGGCTGCATGTCAAACACCACAACAAATGAGAAATATCAAATGCATGCCAGAGCTGAATCATTACATACATACATCAAATGCCAACCTGGATTCCTCCCCATAGCTTCTCGAGTTTGCTTGATGGCATATTGATCTCCATGAGAAATTCTGGCCGAAATGTTGGAGGAAGACATGTTCCTGGGTATGAATTCCAATGTAGTAACCTAAGATGAGGTAGAAACTCCATGCCTTCTCCTAGTGTGCACAAGCTAACATTTGCATTGAACTCACCCATGTAAACTCTTAAAAACTTGAGATTATGCATTCCTTCAAAGGCTCTCCGACTTATAAACAAGTACTTTGCGGTCTTGGACATATCAAAAGATATGCCTACGACTGATTCAGTACCCTGACATGTATCCAAAATAGGTTTATGAGTTTTGTTATCACAAAAAGGAAAGATGTATCGAGCAAGGAGAACTTACTGTTCCATTTGTCAAAACACTTTGAACATCTTGAGCTTCTACTAAAAACTGACGTTTTCCCGGCTCCTTAGACTGTTTTAAAACTTCTTGTCTACCCAATTGTTGGAGTAGATGATGCATCACTATCTTCCCATCGGTAGAGATATGCACCAGAGATTTTTCGACTAGGATCTTCAGGCCATTTTTGACATCCAAGTTACTGTCATCGAGCATTGATGTTACATGGTCAACATCCTCATTATTGAAGAAGAAGCAAGCTATGTGGAGAAAGATGGATTGATGTTTCGTCAACAATTTATCATATCCCACTCTTAATACGTTCTCAATTTCTCTATCAAGACAAGTTTCAAGCCCAGATAATTGAAGCTCCCACTCGGCTTTGGCTTCGCCACGCAAAGATGAGCCTACAACACGAAGGCCTAATGGAAGATTACCGCAAAGCTTTGCTACTTTCTTTGCAAGCTCCTCAAAGCCATCCGATGGAGAGCTTTTCTTGAAAGCAGATTGACAGAAGATCTCAAGAGCTTCTTTCTTGGATGGAAAATCCACATGGTAGATATCGTTTATATCATGTGCCTTCAAAATCTTTTTATCTTCTGTGGTAACAATGATCCGACTTCCGAAACCAAACCAAGAAGGCTCGCCAGCCAAAACCTTTAGTTTCTCTAGATCATCTACATCATCAAGAATGATAAGCACTCTTTGATCTTTTAGCCATTCTTTTATTGCTCCTAAATGACGTACCCTCATATCCCTTTGGTTCAAAATCTTGGACAGAAGTTGGTTTTGCAAACACAGCTTGGAATCATAATCATCGACACTCGTTATGCTCCTAAAACTTCCCTTGAGGTTCCCCATAAAACATCTAAGTGGAAAATGGGTAGAAAGCTGGTTGTATAAAGCTCTAGCAATGGTAGTCTTACCAATCCCGGCAGGACCCCAAACTCCAATCATCTTCACTTGATCCCACTCGAGGCATAGCAAAGAGTCCAATTTTCTCAAGTGAGCTTCCATGCCCACCATCCCCTCAAAATCCCTCGACAGAGTAACATTCATCAGTTTCTTGGAAACATCTGTAGCAATCTTTTGGATCATCTCTGCTTCATCATCCCTAACAAAAGCAAACCAAAAAAATGGTGTTGGTGAGTTTCAATCTTATATTTCTATGTCAATACGATGAATCATTTACTCACAAAACCATGTTGATGGGACTAGAACTATAGAAAACTCGCGATTGAAAAAGAAGTGATTAAGAAATTGAGCCAAAAAGAAACGACAAACCAAGTTAGACAGTGTTCTCCGGCTATGTTTGCGACATCAGTCAAAGCTCTGCTCCATCTCTGCTTCTCTTCCTCTGTTTTCCCTTGACAAGTTTTCTTGAAAGCGATTCCGAAATCATCGCTCTGTTTCCGAACATGGGACGGATCAACATCATAAAAGACCGTCATCACAGCCTGACCCTGATCTTCTCTGCACTTCAAGATTTCAACCAGTTCATCTAAACACCAGCTGGAAGAAGCATAATTCTTCGATAACACAACGATGGAGACTCTCGATTCTCTAATGGCTTGAACGAGTTCAGGTCCGATCGTGTGGCCTCTCTCGATCCCCTGATCCTTGAAAGCCATGATCCCTTTGCTTTCAAAGTGTTTGTGTAAGTGACTGAGAAATCTTCTACGAACGTCTGGCCCGTGGAAACTCGGAAAGACATGGTATCTCTTTATGTGAGCCGAAGAAGAAGAAGAAGAAGCCATGAGAGAAATAGGGTAAAAGAGAGGTTGAAGAAAGACAAGTCTCTAGCTTGTCTCATCCATTTCTGGACAAGACTAACCGTGAGTGAAAGAAAAGGCGTCAAGTGAAGAGAAACTTGTAAACTTGATATCAAATGCTGATGATTTGTTCGGTTGACTTTATTTTAGTCTTTGCATAATCCTCACTGGACACGAAACTTCCTCAAAGTCGTCATCAATAAATCCAATTAGGTGACACACTGATCCCTTAATAATAATTCATAATCAATTAGTCCTTTAATAAATCTCTCGGACGTGTGGATTTTTTCCACAACGTGAAGGCCATAACATAAATACTATATGCAATATTTAATGGAAAATGTATGTAATATTTTATATCTTGTATATAACGAAACTCGCGGGAACACATCTTATATGGACTCTAGAGAAGGCGGACGTGTTTTCAACGATCAAAATTATTCAAGCCAAACCAACTTTGCCGAATATAAGAACATTTCCAAAGATTTTCCTGCAATTTTATTCTTTTCTTGATTTTCTCGGAAGCAGAAAACAAAAAAAAAAATAGGGATTTTCTTGGCAGCAAGAGAAGAAGAATTAATAATATAAAAAGAGGAAAACAAAATTAGGGATTCTCGTTCTCCTTTGAATCTGCCGGTGAATTGAAGTTGTATTGAGGTGATTATTACCTTTTTATTTTTTTCCCTATTTTGAATTGAGGTTTTCCCTTTCTTTTCAAGTTTTCAAATTAATACCGATTTTGAGATTGTTAATTTTTGGATTATCAGGTTGGAGATTTATTCTTCTGATTTCGGTCCGTGTATGATGTGATTTCATATGATGTGATTTATAGGATCCTTAAAAGAATAAAAGATCTTGATCATTTCAGGTTTAGCCTAACATTGCTTTTACTGGATCTACATATCTAATTGTTTTTTTTTCTTTTCTCATTTTGATCAGTTTTCTGATATTTTTCTCTTGACTTTTTTTTTTTTTTTCCCAGCATTCTTCTCAAGCCTACTGGATTAATTTTTGCTGTTTTTTAAGAGATAAAGAGAAAATTTTCACAACAACATTGTCATTTGTCAATGGAGCAATTCAGACAAATCGGCGAGGTTTTGGGAAGTCTAAATGCACTAATGGTATTACAAGATGATATATTGATCAACCAAAGACAATGTTGCTTGTTGTTAGAGATCTTCAGCTTAGCTTTCAACACTGTGGCAGAAGAGATCAGACAGAATCTGAAGCTTGAAGAGAAGCACACTAAATGGAGAGCCCTTGAACAGCCTCTAAGGGAGCTCTACAGAGTGTTCAAAGAAGGAGAATTGTATGTCAAGCATTGTATGGACAGTAGCGATTGGTGGGGCAAAGTCATAAACCTTCATCAGAACAAAGAATCTGTTGAGTTTCACATACACAACCTCTTCTGTTATTTCCCGGCGGTTGTTGAAGCCATCGAGGCAGCCAGTGAGATTTCTGGTCTTGACCCATCTGAGATGGAGAGAAGGAGAGTTGTGATCTCAAGAAAGTATGACAGAGAGTGGAATGATCCTAAGCTTTTCCAATGGAGGTTTGGGAAACAGTATCTGGTACCTAGGGACATTTGCAGCCGGTTTGAGCATTCTTGGAGAGAAGATAGATGGAATCTTGTGGAGGCATTGCAAGAGAAGAGGAAATCTGACAGCGACGATGTTGGAAAGACCGAGAAGCGTCTAGCTGATCTGCTTCTTAAGAAACTAACCGGTTTGGAACAGTTTAACGGGAAGCTGTTCCCGAGCTCGATCTTGCTTGGCTCCAAAGATTACCAGGTGAGAAAGCGGTTAGTTGCAGATGGACAGTACAAGGAGATTCAATGGTTAGGTGATAGTTTTGCGGTGAGGCATTTTTTCAGCGATCTTGAGCCTCTAAGCTCTGAGATCTCTTCTCTTTTGTCTCTTTGTCATTCCAACATACTTCAGTACCTCTGCGGATTCTATGATGAAGAGAGGAAAGAATGCTTCTTGGTTATGGAGTTGATGCACAAAGATCTGCAGAGCTACATGAAGGAGAATTGTGGACCAAGAAGAAGATATCTGTTCTCGGTTTCCGTAGTGGTTGATATCATGCTGCAGATCGCAAGGGGAATGGAATATCTTCATGGAAACGATATCTTCCATGGAGATTTAAACCCCATGAACGTTCTTTTGAAAGAGAGGAGTCACACAGATGGTTATTTCCATGCAAAAATCTCTGGATTCGGTTTATCTTCTGTCAAGTCTTGCTCCTCTAGTACACGACCAAACACTCCTGATCCTGTGATCTGGTACGCACCTGAGGTTCTAGCAGAGATGGAAACAGGTAAAAATGATCAGAAATCGAAGTTGACACACAAGGCTGATGTGTATAGCTTTGCAATGGTGTGTTTTGAGCTTATAACAGGTAAAGTCCCCTTTGAAGATAGTCACCTTCAAGGTGAGAAAATGGCTATCAACATTAGGATGGGAGAGAGACCACTTTTCCCTTTCCCTTCACCGAAATACCTGGTTAGTCTGATCAAACGGTGTTGGCACTCAGAACCGAGCCAGCGTCCAAACTTCTCTTCGGTTTGCAGGATACTACGCTACATCAAGAAGTTTCTTGTTGTGAATCAAGATCATGGTCACCCTCAGATGCAAACTCCGCTTGTTGATTGTTGGGACTTGGAAGCAAAGTTCTTGAGAAAGTTTCCAGGTGATCACTCATCAGGGTGTCACATAGCATCCGTGACTCAGATCCCTTTCCAGCTATACTCTTACAGAGTTTCAGAAAGAGAGAAGATGAATCCAAAAAACTCAAAAGAAAACGGTAACTCAGAGGCAAGCGAATCTTTAGAAAGCGTTTCAGTGGTTGAAGATCCACCTAGTGCCATGATGATAAGAGATACAAAATCTTTGTGTCTAGATACAATATCTGAATACTCAGATACAAGATCAGTCTACTCAGAAGCTCCCATTAAAAAGGTGTCAACATTAAAGAAAAGCGGCGAATTGGTAAAGCTAAAAAAACCTCCAAGCTTAGGTTAGTCTAGTCTAGTTATTCACCTCTCTCTCTTTTTTTTTTCAAATGATGACTCTACAAATGATTCAAGTTAATATTATATCCATGCAGGTTCAGGAAAGTTGAGATCTACAGGGACATCGCCGGTAAAAGCAAGATCATCACCAAAAGCATCACCGTTGAGTCCATTTGGAAGAAGCATTAAAGCGAGGAAAGATAATCGATTGCCTTTGAGTCCAATGAGTCCTCTAAGCCCAGGGAGACTTAGACAACATACTGGTCATGCTTCAGACTCTGAGCTTACTTAGCTTTTTTCTTCAAAACCAGAGGATTAAGAAGAAGAATAATTAAAACGATCTATGAAAGACATGAAAAAAAAAACCAAAAATAGAGAAAACAATGAGGTAGGGATTTTTGCAAACACTTTTTGTCGGTTAATTTAGAAACTTCTTCTGTGATTTTGTCTTCAAGAGTATAGTTTCCTTTTTTTTTCTTGTAACTTCTGAAAGTTACTTTTCGGGGTAAAATTTTTGGAGTTGGGTTTTAAAATCAAGAACACAGTCTAAGGTTGCAAAAGTTTTTGTTTTGTACAAAACAGAAATTAATCAGCTTTTTGTAAGAGAATGAAATTCAGTTTTTCTATTTTGTTTTTGTTTTTCCACATTTAAGGCAATTAGTGATGTAATTTTCTTCTAATTGTTGGAATTCCCACTTTCCCATTTTTTGGGGAATCGCAATCAGGAAAGGAAATTTTGCTCCCCAAGTGTCCTTGTCCTTGACAGATTATGATTTTCTTTTTGTTCGGCAACAAATCAGTCTAATCTCTAATTCTCTATATATACATATAGAAATTTAGAAACTTATCAAATCAAAACTTCATCAACCTCTAAGATACCAAAACTTTTGTTTCTCTGATCGTTCACGAAAAAAACAAAAAATCATCTGTAAAAGTTTCATCTGGCTACGATGAACGAAGACACGATTCTAGATATTATCTCTCACTGTTCCTCCACAGAGATTGCGAAATTTCGTCTGCTAAACAAAGCCTGCAACAAACGTACCTATGAGTTCTTCTTCATCAATCGTCATCTCCGTGTAACCAACTCTGTTTTCGGCTATTTTATTCAAAGCTACAAACGGTTTAGGTATCGCTCCAGTTTTGTCTCGTGCATTGAAGAAGAAGAAGAAGCTCCTGGAAACAATGGAATCTCGCTTGAGTTTCTTCCTTCGAGAGATGTAAAAATCGAAGCTTGCGATACACATCACGGGATTTTGCTCTGTGTCGATAACGATAAATTTAAAGGAGGTAGAAGAATACCAGATTACATCGTTTGTAAACCAGCTACGAAGCAGTACCGGATCATACCAAACCCAAAAACCCGGTATTTTACTATTGCAACTGGTTTAGTGGTGATTCGGTCGAACCAGTTTCGGTATAAGATCGTTAAGGTTTCCAAACCTATGCCGTGGGAAAGAAGGAAGACGAAGGAGGGTTTCTGTAATCTCAATTGCGAGGTTTTTTGATTCTGATTCGTTTGCATGGAAGCGACTGAATAATTTGGAATTACCGATGGATGAGTTTTTCTGGAGATCTAATTATCAGCCAGTATCTTCTTACGGTTTCTTGCATTGGTTAACTTCGAAAAGCAATGTGATACGGTTTTGTCTGTGAACCGAAACTTGGTCTCTCTTCCCGGTTCCAAAAGATCTAGTGGGCGATGGTTCTCTAGATTTAGTCAGCTATGAAGGAAAGACAGGTGTGATTCGTTCAATTTCGAGAGAAAGAATATGATTTATGGGTTTTGGAAAACAGTTTTGAAAAGTCGTGGGTACATGTGAAGGACGTAAACATTACAGGACTAGAAGACAAATATTTTAATCCTCTATGGTTCCCCAGTAACAATGTCGTATCAGTGGCGAGTTTTTGTCGGGTTTTTGTCGGCTCGTTCTCTACAACATGAATAGCAACAAGTCTCTATGTATGAAGAAGACTCAAGATTCATTGCCTTACTATTTGCCCAGTGATGTTTGTTTCCCTTTCTATTCTAACTACGAGAGAGTTTGTCTCAATGAACGGCTGTGATGAAGCCTAGTCAAAAGGAATTAAAAAGCAAGGAACGAAAAGAATATTAGAGAGTACTTCTAATAATATTTTATGTATATCAGAGAAAAACGTTATTTTCTATTTTTTTCATATGTTCCAATAGATTTATCTTGGTTAAGTTTATGGAAACTCTGAAATAATATTATTACTTTTTATTTTCCATAAGCGTAACATCAGTTGAATTTAGGGTATGGTTTATGGGTTTTGGAGGACAGTTCTGGAAAATGGTTGGTAAATATGTAAAAATAACATCTATAATCATCCTTTTTTTTTATTTCTTAAATCTGAACCTATAATTTCTGTTCCTCAGGCCTTTGCATAATCTTCTTGTTAAAATTAGTATAACAAAGTGTATAGTCATCAGTTTACTAATATTGGCATTCGAATAAATGCCAACATATATTGTATCCGATATCAAAATTTCTGTAATCATTATACTGTAATAAGTATATATATACAGTGTTACCCAAATAGTATATGAAACTAAGTTTTAAAGAACTTAGGTTTAAAGAGACGAAAAGTTAGATTAAAACCCTATATTTATAAAAACAAAACCCTCAACAAGGTATTACAATAACGCAAACAAGAAACAAAAACAAGAAAGCCAAATGATTCTGAATTGAAGATTTTATACAAACATCACAGATGTAGTGATGACGCAGAATTTAGTAAACTAAAGATTAATTGATTGTGCCAGTAGGGTGGTTATATCCTTTGAGGCTTTGACAAAAAAAAAAGGAAAAAAAAAAAAGAGTAGGGTGGTTATATCCTCTAAACAAACGCAATATAGTCGCTTTAATCTAATCACCTGGCTCAAACAGCAACTTAGCTTCATCGCACATTCGCACTCATGACTCATATATAGCTCGGCGTACCTTATAATTAATTTCCTATTTTTTTCTCACTAATTAAGACTAGTTTTCTAATTTATTAATAAAAAATTCACCAATTCAATAACTATTAGACTTTGTCAATTGGAATATTGTACTGTTTATATTATTTTTGTTTGTTGAAATATAAAATTTATTGCTTAACCTGAATAAGTTATCTACAAGCATCAAAGAATGGTAGTAAAATAAAAAGGTGGTTTAAAAATTGTTGATATATTATGTAATATACACTGTGTAACCTACAATTTTTAATGAGCTTTTATATTATTAAGAATATAGTAATTTTCTATTTCTCAATTTATCAATAACTCTCTTTTAATATTATTTTTTAATATCTGATCAGATGTAGTATGTCTCTCATATAAAATCTATCCATTTTGTTTTACAACATCTGAACTGCAATTAGGAAGAGTGAATAAGATCAATATACATGATTGACCAACCTATTAGGTTTATAACAATTACTCATAATTTAAAGGGAAATTACCAAAGAGAAATAGAATTTAAACCAGAAATATATTTTTCATTTAAGTTAAGAGCCACACAAATAATATGTACCGAGAACACAGATTACGTAATTTTCGTTAGTATGACGGCAATTAACTATCGACTATCTTAGTAACATGCTAATTAAATATGATTTTGTGCTAACACGCTAGCATGCTAAGTTAATAAATCCTGCGTGCTAACATACTTTACTAATTATCCTTTTTTAATTTAAGGAAAGAATATTAAATTCAACACAAAAATGGATTTAAAGTACAAAACCAAAACATAAAAATGGATATTAAAAATGGATAAATTGGATATTAGACACTTGTTCCCCAAGTTTCCTTATCATTAATAAATTAGGACTTTTTGGTCGACAATAAATCAGTCTAATTGTAGAAACCTAAAAAATCAAAACTTCATCAACCTCTTAGATACGAAAACCTCTTTTTTAGCTCTGTGATCGTTCCAAAAAAAAAACAATCCTCTGTAAAAAAAATTCTCCATGATGAATTCTCTGGCGACGATGGACGAAAACGTGTTTCTAGATATCATCTCTCATTGTCCCTCGACAGAGATTGCAAAATTCCGTCTGCTAAACAAAGCCTGCAACAAACGAAGTTATGAGTTCTTCTTCGTTAATCGTCATCTCCGTAGAACCAACTCTGTTTTCGGCTATTTTATTCAGAGCTACGAACGGTTTAAGTATCGCTACCGTTTTGTCTCCGGTGTCGAAGAAGAAGCTCCTGAAAACAACGGAATTTCGCTCGAGTTTCTTCCTTCGAAAGATGTAAAGATCGAAGCTTGCGATACACGTAACGGGATTATGCTCTGTGTCGATGATAGTAAATATAAAGGAGGAAGAAGAATACCAGATTACATCGTTTGTAAACCGGCTACGAAGCAGTACCGGATCATACCAAACCCAAAAACCCGGTATTTCACTATTGCAACCGGTTTAGTAGTGATTCAGTCGAACCCGTTTCGGTATAAGATCGTTAGGGTTTCTAATCCAAATGCACACGAGAGAAAGAAGACGAAGGAAGGTTTCTACAATCTCAACTGCGAGGTTTTTGATTCTGACTCGTTTGCGTGGAAGCGATTGAATGATTTGGAATTATCGTGGGGCGAGTTTCTCGGGAGATCAGATAAACCGGTATTGTCGTACGGGTTCTTACATTGGTTAACGACGGAAAATAATGTAATTCGGTTCTGTATGAGAACAGAGAGTTGGTCTCTCTTCCCGGTTCCGGACGGTTTAGCAGAGGATAGGTGTCTAGCTTTGGTCAGCTACGAAGGAAAGCTAGGTCTGTTGATTTCGAGAGATGAAGGAGATGATGATGGTTTATGGGTATTGGAGGGTAGTTTTGGAAAGTCATGGGTAAATGTGAAGGATGTGAAAATTTCAAGGGCACAAGGAAGAAGTTACGTTAAACCCCTATGGTTCCCAAGTAGCGACGTCGTATCAGTGGTGGGTTGTGATCGGCTCGGTTTCTACAACATGAATAGCAAAAAGTCTCGATATTTGCATATGACGACTCAAGGTTTCTTTCGTCCCTATGATCACTTGGCCAAAGATTACTTTATTCCATTCTACTCTAACAAAGACAATGTTGGTTTGAATAATATAAAGATTCATCAGAAACGATCAGACAAAAGAAAAGATAAGAAGAAGAAATCGCAAGACACAATACGTTAAATAATAGAAGAAAACTAGAGAACGATTGTATTCTGGAAATAGTTTTCAACCAGCAAAGATGAGAACGATGGTATTGTCTTACAAGTATTTTAATATTATGTTTTTCTTTAAATTGGCATCTAGTATTTTAGTGTTATCGGATGGTTAAATCGTTATTATTCTTATTATTTTTTAAATATCATAACTCCAATAGATTCATCTTGCTTAAGTAAATTTTAAATAGTGTGTTGAAACTGTATACTAATTTTTTTTACCTTCCTTACTTTCTGCATGCTTTGGAACAACTTGATACATTGTTTCTAAACCAACCACAAGGCAGTACCATACTATACCAGACCCGGAAATTCTACTATTTAATGTAGTATTATGAATTGTAGTATCTGGTTTAATCGTGATCCGGACAAACCTTGGTATAAAGTCGTCAAGCTATCTACGCAATACAAGAAATTCACTGAGGGTTGTTGCTACACACTCATATTCGAGGTTTTTTATTCTGATTCGTTTGCATGGAAACGATGTAAAACTACCAAAATGCGAAATTTATACGGATTTCAAACTTACCGATATAAATAACCGGTTCTTGCAATGGGTAATGACGTCAAACAAGAATGTGTTTCGGTTTTGTATGAAAACCGAAACATGGTCACTCCTCCGCTTCCAAACGATTTAACGAACTCTTGTCCTCTTATTATATTAGCAAATCACGAAGGTAAAGCTAGGCATGCTTATTTGGAAAGCCAAAAGCGGATGTGAGACTTAAAAATGGAATGTAGTTATGGATTTGGAAATTCACTTTTTGGTTCAAGCAATCAAATTTGTTGCTTGGTTAAACTTGGGTTTCATCTTGGGTTAGGCGTATATGCTAAAAACATTACGAAACTAAGAGGAATACATACAAAAATACAACAGAAAATACTTCCTAATTATGGACATCTCTGCACAAAAACCTACTTTGTCCATACATTACATGACCCACATAAACCAAACCAATTTTCTACATTCACCTACCCAAAAACCTACATTAAACCGGCAAGCATATTTTACAAACAAACTCCACCAACTTCTTTAGCCTACAAACCAACTTACTTGCCTTGACTGATTCTGATTCTTTCAGGCTTTTTACTTGCCAGTGGATCGGTTATTGCCTACTGCCAACTTACTTGCCTTGGCTGTTGTGACAGGCCGGACAACTGATGCGGGACGACTTCCAGGAGGAAACAATCTTGGAACATCGGAAGCTTCTGGCCAATCAGAGACTCCTGGAAGTGGATTAAAACCAGCTGCGTAAGCTTGAAGAGAACTTTCTGTACTGTAACAGTCATTTACATACTTCAAATGGTCACTGTTCATCCTCCTGCAAACCGCCAACACATGCGAACAAGGAAACTTGTAAAGCTGCAAAATTCCACAAGTGCAAACCCGGTCAATGAGATGGACAAGAACTCTCTTCTTTCCAACTTGCATCATTTCCGTGACTTGAAACCTCACTCCGGTCTTGTCCAATGGCAACACATCGTGTGTTCTGGATGTTTTCTTGTACTCTTCAAGCTTTGTTATGACATGTTTAGCATACTTGTCTCCACTGTGTTGTGATTCGACGAGAAGACCACGTTGGTATATATATGAAAAGCTCCGCGACGTGATCAAAGATTAGCAAGATACAAGTTGTGATTGGAAGATCAGGGACATGGTTTATAAAACTGTAAGCTTTAAAGATTAAGTTTGTATCCATGATTCCGAATCTCAGCCCGCCATCATCATGAGCCAGAGCCCACTGAAGCGGATGTATTTTGTCCAACCATTTTCGAGCCTTGGGATTCATCTCTTCGATTTTCTTCAAATAGTTATCGAAACTTGAAATGCACCCCGTGGATATATCCCGCCTTGTAGACTAACTCAGTCATCAGATTGTTACTGAAAACATCATAAAATTCGAAGCACAAATGCCTCAGACAGAAGCATCACGTTCAAGATGAAGTGAACCAGCAATACATTTCTTTCTCCCAAGACCACATTCAAGATGAAAAGCTTCCAATTTCATAAACATATCGTACACAGACTGACGCTTCAGACAGGAACCAAAAAATAAACAGTAGACATTTGAACTTTTTTTTATTTAAAGTTGTAAGAACAAGTTTTTAAAACATAAATTGTTGCCGAAGCAAACAAATGTTTGTTTGTTTGTTAGCCCATGGCATACTTCTGAGTCCAGTTTCTTGCAGTAGCCTCGTACTTAGCTCTGTCGGTTTTGTACATGTGTGCAATCTCTGGCACCAACGGGTCATCTGGGTTTGGATCCGTTAACAGCGAACATATCGAGAGCAGGACCTAGCAATTACATAATCATTCCATGGAAGTTAGAGCAGCTTAAAAGATGAAATGAAAGCAATTTTTTACGTGTCTAGAACAAGACCTACCAATTGCATAATCATTCCATTAGAGCAATGTAGATTATACAATATTCCTATATATCTTTGGAACAGAAACCAACATTCAAGAAACCAAATGTTTGTGAAGTGAAACCATTTTCACATTTCGAGAGCTAGGCCTAGCAAGTGCCATAGAAACTGATTTTGGAAGATAAGCGAACACTCAAGAACTGATTTTTGTGAGAGATGAGACTCACCTTGGAAATGGTGAGAGCAGGGCTCCATTGTTCTTTCAAAATGTCAAGGCAAATGCTTCCATTGCTGTTGATATTAGGGTGAAACACCTTTGTCCTGAATGCAACCTATGTACAATAGAACACACCAAAGCAAAGAAAAGAAAAAAGATTTCGATTTGATTTGGGAGATAATACTAATGAGAAATACGCTAGAATACCACAAAGCAAAAGTGTTGGTATTTTTGAAAAGATTACTCAAGATTTAAGTACCTTTGGTGGTTTGAAAGGATAATCGGGAGGGAAGTGAATGGTAACGAGGAACACACCGCCTGCATAAGGACTCTCTGCAGGACCCATGATTGTAGCTTGCCAATGAAACATATCCTCAGCAACTGGACCTATTAATCCACTCAAAATTCATTCATAGCAACACATATGACTCTAGTCTCTGAATCAACTAATAAACCGAGATTTGTTTTAGAATATTGAAATAAACAAGCCGAAATCTAAGCAAAATGATTAGAGAACTGTAACTTTCCCATTTTTGTGATTCATAGAAAACAAAAATACATGGCGTAATCTCAATTCACTGGAGGAAATTGGAATATTTCTGTGATTTATGAGCATATGAATGGATCAAAGAAAAAGAAAATAAGAATCTGAAATTTTGCACAAACCGGCACTGCAGGAGGTTGGAGGGTCCTTCTGGAGATCCTTGAGCTCCTTCAAGATCCGTTTCGACGCCATTTTTCACACTGAAAAATCACTAAAAAAAGAAATCCAAGTTAACCCTAGATCGATCCAGCTCACACTGATTCGAAAGCCGGAAATGTTTTTTCCAATTTAATTGAATCGAACAAGAAAAGCAAGTGTTGAATTCCTCTAAAGAATCGAGCTTTTTTTTCTCTTCTCTTGCGGGTAATCTAAAGGAGGAAGATTTACCTCAGAAAGATCCTCCAAAATCGATTTACGGATTCACTCTCCTGCAGATGCTTACGAGAGAGCTCAAAAACGAAAGAGAAAGTTTGGGTTTTTATGCTTAAGAAAGAGAGATAATATTTTCATTGGATAACCCATTTGTTAATGGCTGCTTATGAAATATCTGTAAAAATAAAATTGAATAGAATATAGTTTTTTTTTCAAGACACAAAGTAATTTTTGTTTCAAAGAAATCAAATAAAAAGGGATGGGCTATATTTCATTTGACCCCACTTAGATTCCAATGATTCTGAATCATGGTGGATTTTAATTTGTAAATTTGTCTTTGGCACATATTCTCTATTTTCCTGATTAAATTATAGCCAAGTGTAGAGGTATAACCGGTTAAATAATTTTGTAAGAAATACTATAAACAATGAAACAATCATATATCTAAGGGAACGAATTTTATCCTTTAATGATGTATATCTTTAAACGTTGTAATCACGAAATGTTATGTCATTTTGCGGTCATCATGTCCTCATAATGAGATTGTTTTACTTGCAATACTTGCAAATTACTTAAAGCAAAATGTCAAAATAAACGATAATCATACACGAATTAGTTATGGAAAAATGACAAGATAGGCAAATGCATAGAGGCGGTTCTTTTTTTAAGACACGTAATGGTGGGGGTAAATAAATGGATATTGATAGCATAGAACTGTAGTATCCATTTGGTTCCTTTAAAGCTTTTTGCTTATTCAGCTGCTTCAGATTTGTTCTTATGTCTGTAATTTACTCATTTAAAAATTTGTTTTAAAAAAATTGACAAAAAAAGAGACTGTCTAGACACTAATCAATCATACATTTAATCGAATTAAATTTGATATTAGGAAAACAAACAGAAAATCAAATATACAGGAAAGGTCTTGTAGAACCCTCTGTGTCATGCAGAGACTTCAACGCTTACTTTTAAAAGAGGGCTTTAGGGTTTGTGTGTGGCTTCGATAAAAAAAATCTTCGCTACCGAATCGGAAATCTGTAGAGACAATTCACGAAACTGTGGAGATCGGAATCAATGGAGTCTACCATATCGTTGAAGCTCAAAGGAAAAGGGAAAGCTTCAAAGGCTTCGGATGAGAAATCGAAGTTGCAGGTCGTCAAGGAATGGAGCAATTGGTCACTGAAGAAGGCGAAAGTCGCGACTCACTACGGATTCATCCCTCTGATCATCATCATCGGCATGAACTCCGATCCCAAGCCCCATCTCTTTCAGCTCCTTAGCCCTGTCTGATCCGATTCCAAGATCAATAATAAATCTTCTCCGGTTTGGCTTCTTCATATCTTTACGCGTCGTCTTGGATTCGCCGAATCTTCTTCATCTTCTCAGTAGCTAGCTTTTTGTTGGATTTACCGATTTTCGAATGCTTTCTCTATGGTTCTTCTACTCTCTGTATGGAATCAGTTGCCTTATGATATATTAAATCGAATTTATGTTTTGAATCTTATTCAAAGTTTCGTTTTTTAACAAAGTTCATTTATACAAATTTCATCAGTAATAATAATGGCAAAAGAAAAGGCTTTTGATTTGGTGTTGTTTCTCAATCTGCATCGAGTGTTGGAATGTCTTGTATCATTTTCACAACATGTGCTATATGAGGTCGATCTTGAGGCTTCAAGGCAACACAAGCCAAACCTATCTGCAACATCTCAACCAACTCTTCCTCTATACCCATTTGCTTCATAAGCTCAGTGTCAAACACTTCTCCGGTCCACTCTCTCGACACCACGGACCTTATCCAGCTCGCCAAGTCCATGTTTTTGTCTCCTCCTGCTGGAGATTTCCCTGTAAGAAGCTCGAGTAACACCACCCCGAAGCTGTACACATCAGAAAACTGTGTGCACTTTCTTGTGTCTGTTATTTCAGGAGCATGATAACCCGAGGAACGAATGGTTGTCTGAGGGAGAGACTTGGTGATGGATGTCAAGCCAAGATCGCAGATGCAGCCATTGAAGATGTTTGAGGATTTGATGTTCCCATGGACAAACTCCTTGTCGTCTGCTTCATGGATAGTAGCCAATCCTCTTGCTACACCAATGGCTATTCTCAATCGAGACTCCCAATCTAAAGGTATTCGGTTCTCTCCTTTATGTCCTGCAATAGTCTATAGTTTTTGGTTGTTCTTGATTCAGATCAAAGGAATATATATAACATAGAGATAACTTACCGTACAACATTTCGAAGAGGTTCCCCTCGCTGTAATAGCTGTAAACAGCGAGCTTATCGTTCTTGGAATAGTAGTAAGCTTTTAGCTCAGCCACATTATCATGTCTGATTCTACCAACGATCTCCATTGTTTGCTCAAACTCTCTTCTTCCCACAACCACCTCCTCCAATCTCTTCACTACTACAGTGGTTGTGTCCTCCACGGCTACTTTGTAGGTTGAACCAGAAGCACCTTTCCCCAGCATTTCTGCAGATGAAGCTAACAAGTCGTCCAAATCAAAGGTATAGTTACTTCCTCCAAAGAAGACGATTTTGCCTTGATCATCGTCGTCTTCTGCTGCCCAGTTACCAGATGGAGATGAGTCTTTCTTCTTCGACTTCCATGAGAGCCTAGCTTTCACGCGCCGCTTCTTTCGCAAGCAACAAGCCATCATCTTAGCAATCAGTTCCACATGTATTTTACGACCAACAATATGAAGATCACCAAGGCTGGTCGGACCCGGTAGAGAGCTTGGGTTGCTCTTGTTGAATTCTCGAGATAGATATGTGACAAGAGTCTTCTCGGTTGGTTTTCGCTGCGGCAAAATGGATGATGAGCTGACTTTATTGACAATAAAGAAGAAATGAACAGAGTAAGGAGAAAATTCGAATCTTGACAAGAAATTAAGCAAAGGGTATCTTGTAATCGTCCTGGAAGAGCTCTCTGTTTCCCCTCTGAGAAAATTTAAACGAAGCAAAAAGTCCAAAAAGAAAATCTCCATTGCAGAGACAAGTCTCGTCTTTATCTAAACCCAAAAATAAGTGTTCTCTATCTGTCACCGAGAGAGAGAGAATCTCCCGTAACAGAAGAAATTTTTATTTTAGTCAAAAAGATTAAAATTTAAAATGCGAATAAAAATGATACGCCAGTCGGTAAGCCGGCAAAAATCTTGGTTATAGACTTGTAGTAATATCTTAAGTGGAGAAGCATGTAAGACGCCGCAAACACAACGTGATTGTGTTTTTTCAATTTATCCCTTTTCACATTTTGAAAATTTTATATATTTAACATCGCACTGGATTATCAACAAAGCATAATGGCGCAGCAAAAGCTTTTAGTTTAAAAAAGAAAAACACACCGTATAACATTTTAGTTATGTTAAATGGAATTTATCCTAGTGATGTGTTATTTAGTCGGAGTCTAAATCCCCAAATTACCGATCCCCAAATTTTTTACTGAGATTAGGTTTTTATTAACAACGCCAAGCGTAAGCAATGGCACCAGAAAACGAAGAAGAATATTCTAACTTCGATTAGTAGTCTAATGATTATAGAAAACAAAATTTATGGCATTAGCTCAAGTTTCCGGAGGAATTTGAACTCCCTCTGATTTATGAGCTTATATAAATGATACGCGGAAAATTGGCCAATTCAACTTGAATTATGAGATTATGTTAATCTTATACCTGATTTTAATTACCGTTTAAACATTCTTGAATTTCATACCTAATCAAATTTTTTGTGCGTAAACATTCTCGAAACCAGACGGTGTTAAATAACCGTCAAATCTTGTCGACGTCAAGGCCACATCAGCAACGACGGCGTTTTGATTTTGCTAAATCAGAAAAAAAAAAGAGTAAACGACCTGGTTTTGTTCTGGGCTAAAAAAAAATTTAAACTCTCGATTTCCTTTGAATTGAGACGAAGCATCAGGTTCATCCTTTGAATTGAAAGGGAATCTGGTGGTTGAGGATGTGAACGAAGCATCAGATTCGTTTTCCTTTGAATTGAGACCGGAGAAAAAGAAGGGAACCGTGTCTGGTGTCAGTGACTCCGCCGCAGATTAATCTGGAACGAAGTCAACGACGGCGGATGGTATATCGAAGATCTTCATCAAGATCCACGCACGAAGAACAACAAAGAAACAGCTGATCTCTCCAATGCCGTGGTCTCCGCTTCATCGAATGATATTGCTACCGCGACCGCCGTCTCTGACGTTCACGTGGCTGATGATTCAGCCGGACCAGCGATCGATGCTGAACGGATCTCCCATGTGTATCTCTTGATATCATGAGAAAGCAGACAAGTTTGGACCCAAGACTTGGAATCTGAGGCCAAGGAAACCACCGCCGACTAAGAAGCATTTAATTGTAAACAGCGGTGGGATATTGAAGAGCTGCAGCGATTGATTGCCGGAGAACAGAGCTCAGGGAACGATGCCAACTGAGCAATTCAATCCAGCAACGGTATGGTAGCCAAGATTGCGATAACAGATAGAAAGGAGAAGAAGCTCATGTTATCTGATAAATGAGGAGGATATCAACGCGTTGACCCGATCAAAGCTTAGCAGAAGGCTGTAAGTTTTGTTTTTTGTTAGCCGACGTCGTTTTGTTTTGTTTCTTTTTTTCAGATTTCACAAAATTAAATGACGTCATTGCAGATGTGGCCTCCACATCGACACGATTTGACGCTCATTTAGTACCGTCTAGCCTCAAGTATGTTTACGCACAAAAAAATTTGATTAGGTATGAAATTCAAATAATTATGAAATTTAAGAATGTTTAAACACGATATATAAAATCAGGTCTAAGATTAACATAATCTAATAGTTCAGGTTGTAATTGCCCAATTTTCCAATGATACGCAAACACAACGTGGTCGTGTTTTCCCAATTTATCAATTTAAAAATTGGTTTATATATTTTACTTCGTACTCGATCATCAACAAAGCAGAGTGGCGCAGCGGAAGCGTGGTGGGCCCATAACCCACAGGTCCCAGGATCGAAACCTGGCTCTGCTATCTCTTTTTTTTTTTTTTACTTTTTTTGAAGAAAAATGTAAATAACACTGATTGGTTGTCCACCGTATTAAGCTGCTTCAGTCCATATATGATAAGAGTTTCCATACAAGTGAAAGACTCAACAAACCAATTAAAACAAATAAATCACTTATTGGGTTTGGTTTCGATCGGACCAATATTAAATTGTCGAAAAGCAAAACGGTATCGTTGGACTTCTCTACCTCACCTAACAAAACGAAAAAAGACAATGGGTGAATTGACGAATTTCCCTCCCGTCTAAATGGTGCCAAAATAGAATCAACAATTAAAAGTATTGGGCTATTAAAGAAAAAGCCCATTATCATAGAATGTCAGGCCCCTCGCTATATCCAAAAACAACAACAGATGATTGGTAAAGCTTGGCTAAGAGTCTAAGATACACACCAAACCTTGGACATGAACATGACCATTAGCTTTTGTAATCGATCCCATCAGCAACTGAAGGTAACTTCTTGAGTAAACCAGCCTCCATGATTTGGTGTATGAAATTCACCATGAACACCGTAAAAAACAAATTTTGTGGGAGGTTACTCAATAGCACAACAATCATCTGGTACCACAAATTTCGTTTTCAAACAAATTCTGCAGACTTTTGCTGTCCAATCAATTTCAAAAATGCTTATTATATAACTTTGCCTTTCTCTACACGTAAGGAGGCCAATTATAAGCACATAGTAAGTTAAACTTTGTAACCTCTATATAGGCCCTTAACAGAAAATCCATCCACGAGGGAGATTTTTTATCCACTAGTCTATCTGTAGATTTTTTTTATCATCTGATGTTACGCTGAAAGACATCAGATTTCGACTATTTTCCATGAAATGAAAAACTGTTGTAATCATAAGAAAATATAGTAATGAATTATATATTTGTTGCTAGCAATAATTACAAACAAACAAAATATTCCTGGAAAATGTGACCCATTTGGTTATAGATTAGACAAATGAAATAACACAAAGGTGTTGATTGGACAACCAATGGCAATAAAATGTTTTCCAACTATTACTAAATTTTATCGTTTTTTTGTGTAAAACTAAATTCTTCTTTTATAATGATAGACTCAAAGAAAATGAAATTAAAGAAACAACTACGAAGCTACTCGAACACAAAATAAATGATATAAATTACTTAACTTAATAAGATGTTATCAGAGTAGCAACCAATATGTTCTTAACCTATTGAATTCCCATTGTAACTCCACTTTTGTTAGCAAACGCTCGCTTCACTGATTCAAGAACTAGACTCTTACCAATCTTCTATTTATTAGGACTCTCAACAAATCCAGAAGTTCATTGAATATGTCAATCATAGAATTTTTGGTAAGAAAATCGGCATGATTCATAGATGTGTAATTAAACCTTCGATATTGTCTACTTGACTACTCCGTCAGCAATCAGATTTGGATTTTGTCTTTAATTTTCATGATGCACATTACTCTTTGATAGAGCCATAGTAATTTTTGAATTGCAAACACTTGTTCAAATTCTTGTTCAAAACGAGACTTACTGCATAACCCCTTCGACCAAACAACTTCTTTCATTAATTCAGTCAGAGTCAATTCATTTGATTTTGTGGTTTATAATGTTACTACCTTTTGAATTCATGACGTCTCTAGCTTATCACATTCTCAATAACACATATATGTAAGCAAAATCAGTGATTGATCATGTTTTCTTTTGATTTTATATATGCGTAATCAGCATCACATAATTCAAGCTGTTTAACGTCAAGACGACTTAATCAGTTAATCTTGTTGTCATGTTTATGTTCTCATATCACTTGATGTAATACCTACGAAAACGAATTGATTTTGCCATTTCAATATAGTTGTCATTTTTCCGCTCTAATGATATATCTAGAAACTATATGTAAAATGATGAATTAATCTTTTAGTGATTTTCCTATAACTTTGAAATTATTATTACTATTATTATTATTATTATTATTATTACAATTTGTATTTAATTCATATAATGTAGTATTTTTAAGTGCTATTCTTATATTATGTTAAATATTTTTTAAAAGTGATAAAACAGATTTAGTTTTGCTTTTGTTATTTGCCAAGCTTGCCATCATAAAATTATTGGATGCCTGCCCCTACGCTATATTGTCTCTCTTCCTCAGTATAATGAAACCTTTTCCTGAATCTGAGAGTTTATTACATATTTATTTTTTAGAGTGTGCGGAAATATCATTTGGTAAAATAATAATTTCATTGCCGACATTTGGTAAATAATACTATAATAAAAAAAACTTTTAGTTATGCTAAATGGAATTTATTCTAGTGATGTGATATAATCGGATATCCAATCATTTATGAAAAAAAAACTTTTCCAATTCCACAATTTTGAAGTCTCGTAATTTTGAATCAACTCTGTTTTTCAAACTTTTTTTTTTCTGTTTTTCAAATACTTTTTCCAGATATACGTTTGCCACTTACAATTGAAGTCGGCTTTCTTATGATCATTTTAGTAGTAACTTTTACAATCAATTATATATAGATATATATTATTTTATTGGAGAGACATTAGATGATGATAACCATGTTACCACTTCCAGAATGTACACTTTACGGGACACGATTCAATGTTTTTGTACTTGTTGAAGTTCAATGTAC